AATCGAGAAATAATAATTAATCTTGTTCATTTTCCCACTTAAGATCCACATGGAAATCCACTCCAAATATTGTGAATAGTTCCAATATTTTCCAAGTACTCTGTGACAAAACACATGGTATTTTAGATTTTTTAAAAAAAATAAGTATAAAAAAAGTTTTGAAGCGTTGGAATTGAAGTTATTCTCGACGATCAATAACGTAAGGTAAATTTTCACAGCTTCATATATAGGCTTATATTGTAAGTTTTATTGTAGGATTAGTGCCTAAAAAGTTTGTAATTGAGAAATAATAATTAATCTTTGATCATCAGAAAATTCTTTATCCACATGGAATCCACATTCAAATATTGTGGATAGTTCCAATATTTTCCAAGTACTTTGTGACAAAACACATGGTATTTTGAGATTTTTTAAAAAAATAAAAAAATAATAATTTAAAAAAGTTTTGAAGCGTTGGAGTTATTCTTGACGGTCAATAACGTAAGGTAAATTTGCACAGCTTCATATATACGCTATAATGTTACGTTTTTATTGTAGGATTGGTGCCTAAAAAGTTTGTTGAGAAATATTAATATTCTGATCATCAGGAAATTAAGAACCACCTGGAAATCCAATATTTTTCAAGTACTCTGTGACAAAACACGGTATTTTAGTTATTAAAAAAAAAAATAATTTTAAAAAAGTTTCGAAGCGTTGGAATTGGAGTTATTCTTGACGGTCAATAACGTAAGGTAAATTTGCGCAGCTTCAATATATACGCTTATAATGTACGTTTTTATTGCAGGATTGGTGCCTAAAAAATTTGTGATTGAGAAATATTAATTAATTTTGATCATCAGAAATTCTTTTCCACTCAAGATCCACATGGAAATCCACATCAAATATTGTGAGTACACAGTGAAATTCGATATAATGGAACCATCCGTTCCATTAGTAAAATAAAAATCCGTTATATCAAGAATTCTGATATATCGAGGGTAAATTAATTATACGTTATGATAATCCGCCAATTCCGATATATCACTTATGATCCGTTATATCGAGGTTCCGGTATATCGAATTTCACTGTGTAGTTCCAATATTTTCCGAGTACTCTGTAACATATTTTTAGATTAAAAAAAAAAATTTAAAAAGTTTCAAAGCGTTGGAATTATTCTCGACGGTTAATAACGTAAGGTAAATTTGCACAGCTTCACATATACGCTTATAACGTACGTTTTTATTGCAGGATTGGTGCCTAAAAAAATTTGGGAATGAAAAACATTAATTAATCTTGATTGTCAGGAAATTCTTTCCATTTAAGAACCACATGGAAATCCACATGGTATTTTTGGCGTAGATTCACGAAATTCGAAGATTAAAATATGTAGGATATATGGGAATGTATGTAATTTCCACATATTTCTGAACTGGACCGATCTACCTAAAAATTTCAGATGACATCAAAAGATGCTCATCAGTATATCAAGACAATAAATAAATGGTAAGCAAATTATCCTATCTATATTCTATATTTACTGCATATTACAGAGATATTTTCATATAAGATTGTTACTGTTTTTTTTCGTCCAGAAAAAAATCCTGAAAGGAGCCGATGGAGCAATTTTTTTCGCCATATATCGTCAATATTTTTCAAAGTTTACATTTTCGAAGATAAAAAAAATTTTTTAACATTAAAGAATTACTTTTCTGATATAGCTTTTGTGAACCAATAATTTTTTTTTTATAATAATGATCAAATTGGCAAATAAAACTTATTACCATTCATGCGGATCACAGAATTAACTTTGTTTATTATCCAAAATCGGGACAATCGGACGCATACCGGACAGATCTTCACTCATTATCCAATCGGTTATTGAAAGTTCTAAAAAGGTAAAAACTACTGAACTATTATCAATGCTGTGTAATAAAATATTCTTTATTTTTCATATTCTATTGTTATTTTCAGTCAAATAGGAATAAGCAAGAATGATCGATATTTTTATGAGAAATCCAATATTCGAAATCAGTATTAATAGTATTAATTCGGGTCCGTCCAAAATCCCATTAATTCCTATTTATCACCGCAGTATTTCCAGATATTGAATTGAAGGATATCGGTCGAAAACCGATATATCTTTATTCCCCCTATCCAATAACTAAGATATACAAAAAATATTCATCATGATTTTTAACATCGAAACCAGAAAAATTTTAACACAAATTATACCAAAATTTTTTGCTAATAAGATCAAAATTTTTTTTCACTAATTCAGGTTCAAAAAAAAACACATACAAAAAAAGGTAATTTTGACGAAAAAAAAATTTATTTTACCTATTTTACCTTTGAAATCTTTGAAATTATAGAATTTTCTGAAATTTTTTTTTATTTTTTTTTTCAGGAAAAATATACTCATCATTATTTCGTCTCTCTCTTTTACATTTCCTTCCTACATTTTGAATTTTGGGGATAACTGAAGAAAAAGAAGTTTTCTGTGAAGTTTTCAATGGTGTTTCTATAAATGATAAATAATTATAATAAATAAAATTAAATTATTTAATAATTTTAGTAATTTTAGCAAATCATCTATAAAGTTATAAAGTTCGATTGGATTTGAAACCACGAAACCATAATATTCGCCTTTATAAATCTAAATTATTATTTAAAAAAGATAAATTTCATCAAATATATATAAATTTATCGCGAGGAAAAAAAAATGATGAAAGGCTCATCACGAGAAGAAAAAAAAAAAAAAAAAAAAAAAAAAAAAAAAAAAAAAAAGAAATGATGGGACTAATAACGGAAATTCCACGATATACACAAGCATCATATGAATGATATCATAATTCTTCCTGATCGGTAATTTATTGTAATATATTGTCCGAATTAAAATATTGAATTTTCATCCAATTCTTACTAAAAATGCAAAACAAGGGAATTTTAAAATATTTCCAAAATTTTTAATTTTAATCGATTGAAAATATTGAACTTTAAAAATCTCTAATTCTAAACTGAGTAATGAATAATTGGAGGACAACATTATATTCTATATACATTTATACATCCAAAATAAGTTAGTCAAACATCTTTACAATGAAATTTTTCGCCTCTGGATTATCATTTTTCTTAAATAAGGTAAGTTTAATATATTGAAGTAATTTCCTTAAGCAAATATGATAGACAATTATATCATAATTAATTATTAAAAAAAATTTTTTGAATCTCCATTTTAATTTTTCCAAATTTGATATTTTAATTTTTAAATTTATATTATTTTTTTAAATAAATTCTGATTTTTAACGGAGAGTGATTCCTTTCGGCTGTATAATGTATGTAATACAGATGTTAATACAATATACATTGTACTCTTTTTTTTTTTTTAAGGTTATTTTAAATTAATGAATGGCGTATTTAAGGGTGATTCCTTAGCCGATTGTCGGTTCAACTTTTTTTTTTCTTTTAAAAAAAAAAAAACAAATGAGTAAAAGAAATTCATAAATTTTTTTCTTGAAATAAGATTATTGGTTGGGAATGTTTTCGGATCTAAAAATGTTGCTCTTTCCAAATATAGAATGATGTGATCTTAGAATTAAAATTCGGAAAAATTAGGAGAATTATAATCAAAATATAATCAAAATCTCTTTAACTTTTAAAGTAATTTTCATATTCTTTATTAATTATTAATAGGAATAGATCAAATTTCGCGATTTCAAAAAAAAATTCGAACTTTGAAACAAATTATGCAGAAAAAATTGACAAAAAATTTCCATTTTCAAACTGGCGCCCTTGGAAGATATTCCGAAGAGATGTTCTCGTGAACATTTTTAATGCAAAAGAATTGACCCATGACGAACGATGGCAAATGTAACAATTATTGTGTTCGGGTCAGGCGTGTGTATTTAAGGGATCTTCTATGTTGAAGTAATTACCATAAACATACTTTCACGTCACAATTCATCATATTAATGGCTGACACCTGTACGAATCATATGAATAATATAAATAATATATACTATCATGTGATGATAACACAACAGCATCATGTACTGTACATTTTTTTAGTGTAATGTATGAAAAAAAAAATGTACGTGTTTCCTATTAGTAAAAAAAAATCACTTTTTTTTACAATGAAATTCATTTTAATTTATTTAATTTTAAAATTCTAGAAATATCAATTATATAATAGATACAATATATATAATAATATCATTAAATTAAAAAATCTAATAAATCTATTAGGAAATAATTTTATGTAAATTAAATTGACTAAAATAAAAATTCTTTAGAGAAAGTGTAACGTAAAATGACAAAAACATGAATTCCTGGTGAATATTTTAAATATTACTAACGGAAATTTGTGAGAGATAATTTAAATGGAAAACAAAATGAAATAAGATATCCAAGAATTAATCAAAAAAAAAAAAAAAAAAAAAAAAAAAAAAAAAAAAAAAATTTTTTCAATATATTGTGAACATATTTGTAAAACAAATAAAAAATCTCTTTTTCTGTATAATAGTTCCAATGGAAAATATTTTAACTTTTCCTAGTAAAGAATGATATCCAAGTACACAAGTTATTCAAGTAATTGATTTTTGATCAACTCTTGAACAAAGCGATATGTCTGAGATCTACATTTATGTATTACTATTGTATATATTTATTTATCTAGATCTACATTATATGTTATTATAGTATAATAAAGTTAATACTAAAACGCGAAATTTCTTACCAGGTAATTCTGTTCCCAAAATGTTCTCTAAAATGATAATTACGCTACTTTTGGAAAAATCCCAAGGAAAATTTCTTACATCAAAGTTGATTGTATCCTGTCAGATTCAATTGTGAAAATTTATAAATACTCGGTTTTTTCGATCCTTCTTTGTTTAATTACCAAAAATACATATTCTTAATGTTCGAATTTCGTATATAAAAACACCGGTTTTTTCCTGCTGTTTTTTTTCTTCTTCATATTCAATATTGATCTTATATAAGTTATTTTCTTAAAGAAAAAATTATCATGCGTACTGAAAAGATCGTAGAAAAGTTCGTACAAAAATACGAACAAGATTTTTATAATCTCATAAATTCGAACCTATCCCCCAAGCTACCGCCAATGAAAAATGGAAAAATCCCACGTCCATGCAACGCTTTTTTCCAATTCAGGCCACTTGTATCATCTTATGCATTGGAAAAGAAATTATCAATAAAAGACGAAGATACGCTCATAATTTTATCTTCCGCTCAAGGTTATTTGGGCAAGGTCGCATCTAAACTATGGAAGAAACTCCCCTCTGATAAAAAGGTCATATTTACAAAATTATTTGAACAAGCCAAAGAATATGTTACAACGACTTATCCAGATTATAGATACAGACCTAATAGACCAAAATCCATTTTTAAGGCGGATCCTCAAAAGAAAAAACTCAAAAAGGTCAGATCCGCACGCGGTAATGCTAATAAAAATAGAAACATTGTAGAAGTTGAAAATAATACCAATCCTCCCACTTCAATTGATAATCTTGATCTGCAAATGAACGTAGATTTATCAACTTTTCAACCATCCATCTTTTCTTTACAAGATGATGTTAGTGATTATATTCCTCAAGTAATCCAATATCAATATGATTGGGATTCTGTTTCTTCACCTCCACTTGCTTACCCCACTCCAAGCCTTTCGCCAGCTTCAACTGTAGTTAATGATTCGGACATAATTAATGATCCAGAAGGTTTTCCCTTTGCGGTAGCAAATAACATTTCTTATATCAATAATACTCTATATCCTGTATCTGACGATTTGATATTCCCTATGAATAATTTGAGTTTCGATAGTTTTAACTAATTATTTTCGTTTATTTTTCGTTTACTTTACGTATTTTTACCTTTTTTTTTCGTTATATTATTTATCGCGTGAGTTTTTCTTGAATAAAAAATAATCAATTTTTTATTCCAACCGTATATCGGTTTTTATTTTTCAAACATAGCTTATTTCTTTTATTTCTTTCTTGAAAAATTATAACATTAAGATTAATCGAAACCATCGAAACCTCTATTCTAATTTCCTCTAATATTTAACAAAATCGTTTTTTTTTCTTTTTCTTTCTTTCTTTTTTTTTCATTATCAAAATCGTTTTATTTTCTTATTATTCAATTAGTTTCAAAATTTATACATATGTTAATTATCTTATTTATATATATATCCAGATAATTTCCTACTACTAAATTTATCTAGATATATATATATTTTTTTAAAAATCATAGAGAAAAAAAAACTAAATTTCGTTATCTTAAAAGAACGCGGAGGGAATTTTTTTTTTTAGATCATAGAGGTTTTAAAATTTATGAAAAAAATTAAGTACGCGGTTATAAACCGCGACCAATTAAGATTATAATAAAAAATTAAGATTTCTTTTTTTTTAAGGTATAACATAACATATTTAACTTACATATATATTGTTCAATGAAATTTGATAACGCGTAATTTTTTTTTTACATAATTTTATGTTTAATATTGTGAACAAGTAAAATTTCTTACGATAAAATTATGATATTGAACGAACTGTCTAGCGGATTTTATGACAATCATCCAATCGGCTGCTGCGGAGTTTGCGGAGTTGGTTGGTTGGGATAACCTATATTTTTACAGTTTACGATATGTTAACGAGATAAAAAAAAATAAACAGAAATAGCAAATAAACAAAAAAAAATAAATAAATAAATAAAATATAAATAAATTAAAATAAATAAATAAAAAATTTCTTCAAACCTGTTTGGTTGTACTTTTGAGCACGCATTTTAAAATTATTTCTCCATTTTAAATAATGAAATAGAAGAAATAAGGAGATGAAAGAAAATAATTAGATGGAAAAAAATTAATTTTTAATTTGAAATTTTTTTTATGAATGGATGGAATAACTTTTCGTTGAATGTAAAAATTATTTGAATGTAAAAAAAAAAAAAAATTCTTGTTTATTTTAAAAGGAATAACAAAAAATAATAATAATAATTTTTTTTTTTTAAACAATCAGTCNCAGCCAATATATCAAAATGATTTCAAATGATTTACGTAAAGAGAAATTCATACAACGTATCTTTTCCAAATGGATCTTCTAACATTCTAAATTATAAGAATTCTTTTAAATATAACCTTTAAAAGAACTTCATTATGGATATATTTGGTTTTTTTTTTAAGGTGAAAAAGTAAATAATAAATTCCAATCCCTGGAGATATTGGATGTAATATTATTCTTCTTGTATAACTCAAAAAAAAAGCCGCTTTTACGATCAAATTTTCAATCATTGAAACACTTTCTTGATAGGGAGTTCTAAAATTAGGGAAAAAAAGAAATAAATACATAAATATAATGAAATTAGGAAAGATGAAAAACCATGAGTCAATAATATGAGAAAATTTTGTTTGTTTAAAAAAAATATTCCGAAATTTCAATTGATTGTTTCAATTAAAAATTTCAATACATAAAATAACCGATGGAATCTCTTTTTTTTTCCGGGGAAATTAATGATTTGTATAACAAGGGTTTACTTGAATTACTTCATAAGTTCATAAATGAATCATACTCCGGTGTAACCGATAAAAAAAAAAAAAAAAATTTTTTCTGATATTTTTCTTTTCGATTAGCATCAACAAGTTAACACATCTGCGATTCTATTATGATACCATATTTATCAAGCTGTGATGTTCATATTTGGAAGTACAATAACCATATTGTTGCATTACCGATTGTGTTATTGTGAAATATTCCTTCTTGTTCTTCTTGCGGTAGTAATTAAAAGCGTAATGTAAATATCATATTGTATACAAATTACCAAATTACTTTGTCTTATGAATTAATTTATGGGCGTTCACGGAGTTAATCAAAGTAGGCAAGGACTTTTTTGAAATTTAGAAATTTTTGTTCCGATGTGCATTATTTAACGCAAATTATTTCTCATTTTGGTTCATGCTTTGCATAAATGCGTAAAATAATGTAATAAAAAATCATTATTATTAAATATTCTTTTTTTTTTGTAATTTCATTTATGAATTTATCGAGAAATGTTGTGAAATACGGTAAAATTCAATTACATAAAAATATTATCTTATTGGGGGACTCATTATTACTTTGTACTGAATTTTAATTTGTCACGTGATTTATCGACGTCTTTTTATGAGGTAACTTTAAAAGGGCAAATCAAAATTCTAAGAAATTAACCGTCGCAGAATATAATAACTTCTTTTTGAAATTCGTTCAATGAAAAAAATTACAATTAATTATAATCAACTTTTTTTCCAATTTATCAGATAATAGACAATATAACGTAGTGGTACAGTATAACTGACATGATTGACATGTGACACCGAGAAAATAAGTAATACATAATATCTTATTTTATTGTATAAATTGATTTTTTTTTCAATCTTTGAATAATAGTAATTATAATAGTAATTATAGATTTATAAAGCTGTTATTCGGGTTACGGGTGAATCTGATTTTCGAAACTAAGGATGAAACCGTTTAAATTCAATTAAAATACTGAATATTATTAGCTCAGAGCGTAACGAAGGACTAAACATAATAATAATTAGTACTAAGACCACGCGCCGCTTATTTGTACAACATAAATAAATATTTGCGTTCCGGACTTTACAACGGTTTTCCGTTTCCTAGTTATGTATCACGTTTTTTTATAGATGTTCATATATATTCACGTCTGAAGGATATTCTTAAGACGGTGGATATTGAACAGATAATTTAACGGATTATCCAAATACACTTTTTAAGTACTAATGCATAGTGTTGAATTATTCGGATTATTTGAATAAAATCCGAAAGATATCTGACAATCTTTTATTCGTCACATTATTATCTTACAATATCCTACGATACTACGGCGACTTTAGCATCTTTTTTTTCTTGTATATCAGCGTAAATTTTTTTGGTAGTATATTGACATAAAGTAGCAAACTTTTCTACCAGCACAATAAGTATAACTTCACCAATAATTAATTGATGTTTAATATTCAATTATACATTATATATAGTATGTATTATTATAAAAAAGTATTACTTGTTACTTTTAATAATTAATCATATTTTTTAATAAAGGTAAATCATTTCTTCAAATTTTCATTTTGATCTACGTATTTAATAAAGGTTGAAATATTTGAATACTTTAAAAAATTTTACCGTATTAACAGTCTGATGGGACATTTGTTTCGGTTTAGCAACTTTTATAATCCTTAAATTTGGTGTCCTAACTGAATTATAGGCTTGCATTGGCCGAGTCTAGATAGGATTTTTGACAAAAACTTATAGGCTCGGACCCGAGTTTTTATGTTCCGTGCCTGACTCAGTGATGTTGATCAATTAAAAATTTTTTTGATTGGTTATCAAACAGATGACTTCCTCGAAACCGGTTCGGAGTTTTGGATTCTTGAACCGACTTTTAAGAAGACCTAACATGCGTCTTCACATGGAAATCATTTGATTACTTTGATTGATAAAATTCGCTGAAAAAAAATCGGTGCAGGTCAAAAGCGTTTACGGTACTTTATATTTTCCAGTATAATTCGCTTTTTATAAGAATGAAAATCTATCTGAATGCACTTTCTATATTATTGAATGTAACTTCTTCAATAATATCCTGCATTGAAAATAAAAGTTTAGAATGGCAAATAATAGAAGAATTTTCGAAATTGGGGTCTTTATTAGTGCTTTGTTTTTTTTGTACGGGAGAAGGATTTCTATGGGCGATTTGGAAATTCTATAATGAAAAACCACGGAATGCATGGTCTTTTATAATTCTTTTTATAACTATGTTATTTTTTAGAAATGAATATTTAAATGGAATTTTGGTATTGTTGGTATTACTTTTATTACATTCACTACTATTAGATACTAATTTTATGGAAGGTTTTGTGAAAGAGTTATGTCGTTTTGCTTCAATTCAGAATATAACTATCTCACTGATTAGATTAATGTTAAGACCCTTTGAGATGTGTTTTACTTTTATTTATCGTTTTGGGATATTAGTTTTGTTGTATATTGTTTTAGAAGAACATGTTTTTCATTCATGTCTTACTAGTATACGTCCATATTGGTTTAAATTGAAGCTTAGTTTGAGTTTACAATTTACAATTTGTTTAAATTGTGGACGATTTTTGACAGGATTGTATTGGTGTCAAAATTGTGGAAAGAAATATTTTACAGATAATTTCTCAAAATGGACAAGTGGAAATGATTATATTGACGAATTAATAAGAGATACTCAGAAAAATGCAATGGATACAACAGATTATATAGAATGGATACCTTATAGTGAACTTGAAATTATGAAGCAAATTGGCGAAGGTGGATTTGGTACAGTTTACTTTACAATATGGAAAGGTGGTGGCCCTTTAACTATGATAAGAAGAAAAATTGAAAGATTATGGCAATTTGAAGAAAAATATAATAGAGAATCTGGGCATTTAGATGAAGAGGTAAGCAATAATTTAAGACAACATTATGCTGCTATTAAAATACTTAAAAATTCAGATACCAATACTATGGAAAAATTTTTAAAAGAGTTAAAAGCGTATATAAAATGTGTTACTACACTACATCTTCAAAAAGTAATGGTTAGATGTTACGGTATCAGTCGAGAACCGACTATGGGAAAATATATATTTGTAATGGAATTGAAAACAAACGGAAATTTGCGACAATATTTAAAAAAGAATTTTTCAGTACTTAAATGGTATGATGATAAATTAAAAATATTAGCTAATTTATCTAGTGGATTAAAAGCAATTCACGAAGCAGAACTTGTACACCGTGATCTTCATGCTGGCAATATTTTAATTGGACATGATAAAAATGCACATATAACAGATTTAGGATTATGTTGTTTAGAAAATGAACAAAAATCTAAATTTAGCTATGGCGTATTACCATTTATTGCTCCCGAAGTTTTAAGAAATCATAAGTATACTTTCGCTTCCGATATTTATAGTTTTGGAATAATTATGTGGATGTTAACAACTGGACAACTTCCTTTTGCCAACTATGAATATGATCAGTTATTAGAAATAGAAATATGTAAAGGCAAAAAACCTAGAAACTCCTAAATGTTATAGAGAGTTAATGGAAAGATGTTGGAATTCTGATTCATCAAAAAGACCTTTAGCTAGTGAATTGTATAATACAATTAAGTCGTGGTATCTTGGTAAATGTTAAAAATGCTGATCGATTTCCCGCATTAAGTGCATTAAGTGCATATGGGCTAATTTGTCTACCTTTAATTAAAATATTGATTTTGTTACATTTTTATTATACAAAATACTATATAATATACAGTAAATTGAGGGTAAGTATTAAACAATTTTATTTAATGTTATTATACTATAATTGGGTAAATATTTCTTTTAAATTAATATAATTCTTAGCACTTACTATATATGTTAAAAATTTGTATCTCAACTTTAAACGTAAATATCTCCAGATCCAATGATCCAATCGGCAAGCTCTTTTTTCGCTCATATAGACCAGATCAAGGGCTTTCCAAAGAGACTAAATTTATAAAAAATGAATAAGTGGATACCAAGATATTTGCATTTAAGCATGTTAAAAAGTTCATACCTCAACTTTAAACGTAAATATCTCAGAATCTAATGATTCAATAGGCGAGCTCTTTTTTCGCCTATAAAGTCCAGAACAAGGGCTTTCCAACGAGCCTAAAATTATAAAAAACGGATCAGTGGATCTTGATATATTTGTGTTTAAACATGGTAATACAAATTCAGAAATAAAATAATTATTTTTATTGTTTGAAAATATCTATTATAATACCATCTTTTATATGATATTTTTATTATATTTTTATAAACATTTATAGCTACTAAGACTATATAAATTTTATTTTACTTTATATTTTATTAAAATATACTTACTTTTTAATAATATATGTTAAAAATTCCATATATATGAGAAATGGGTTTTTTATTAGTGAAATGGGGTTTTTCACAGCTTTTTTACATTTAATAATTTAAGTTTCGCAAATGTAAATTTTTGTTCAACTTATTATTTAATCAAGTGATCATCAATCAGATGATTTTTTGGTATTACAAAAAAATTTTGAGTAACAAAAATTGTGAAGATCAATTTAATAACTCTTTTTAATGCAGAGTAAACAAATCAGCCCATATGGAAATAATAATTTCTGGTCAATCCGATGTTGCGTATTCATTAGTATTAGTATCAACAGGTATAATCATTTATATATTTTTTGACTTTTTTTTTTATTATAATTTGTTTATTAACTTTTTTAAAAATTTATCTAAGAATCTTCCATGTCTTCGCGTAGAATGCGTCCATGATTTCATTTAAATATTTATTTGTTTCTGGTTCCTTTATTTTTTTCAAAGGTTCTGTTTAACATAAATTAGAATTTCATCGTTATATATATATTATTTACGTTTGTATGAACTGTAAGAACAAGTGTATAAATTTCTCCTCAGTTTGATTTTGTATTTTTCGTTCAATACGAGTATTCTATCTGCTTAGAAGTTGTGGATAAGGAGGTACTACTGTAGAATATGAAAGAACATTTTTTTATAAATAAACTATTTGTTTTAAAAAAAAATAAAGTGTTTATATTGTGTCATTGATATAAAATGTCAAGATAGAAATTAATAATGTAAATATTATTGTTTAATTGCAAAGGAAATTTATTAATTTATGTACAACTCGACTAATCTTCAAAATTTCACCGTCGGTGACTTTCGCTCGGTTATAGTGAAATATTTATCACAATGTATCACATTACCCCGGTTTCCGTTTATATTATTTTTATTGCATGAAACCCTATTTGTCACGTCATTATTTGTCACTTAGGGTTAGATTAGGGTTAGTATTAGTTTAGGTAATATTATCTAAGAGTGAAGATATTATTGGCTGAATGTTACGTACCTTGAATTACGTAGTAACGTTAAAAATCTTTGAAAGGGCGAATTAAAATTCGTCGCGGAATATAATAAACCCTGTGAATTCGTTCAATGAAAATAATGCAATTAATCACTTTCTATTCCATATTATAATCAACTATTTTTTCAATAAAAAAAAATCAAATAATTCGGCACAGTATAACTAATTGACAGGAATAACATGTGAAGGAACTTTCGCTGAGAAAATAATAGTATGTGAAATATAATATTCTAAGCAATCAATTATACCATTAAACTTACCTGAGTTACATAATTATTCGGTATATCTTACGTGTAAATTGATTTTTTTCAATATATAAATAATAATAATTTAAATAATAATAATTATAATTTATAAAGCTGTTATTCAGGCTACGGATGAAACTGATTTCAAAACTAAGGATGAAACCGTTTAAATTCAATTAAAATACTGGATATATTAGCTTGGAGCGTAACGTAAGACTATATATATATTATTGCAGTGTTGTTAAATTGTCATGTCATTTGCCCATTCTTCAAATGGCATTTGTCATTTCTCATACATTTTCATAGTAAAATCGATGTTATTTAATATCATTTGATGTCATTTCAATGTCATTTCCATTTGACGACACTGTATTATTGTACATGATAATAACTAATACTAAGGTCACGCGCGAAGTCGTCCGCGTATAAATATTTGCGTTCCGGACTTTACAACAGTTCGTTTCCTACTAGTTATATATCCCGTTTTTTTATAGATGATATTCACTTCTGAAGGATATTCTTTAAACGGTGGATATTGAACAGATAATTTAATGGATTATCCAAATACATTTTTTAAGTACTGGTGTTTAGTACTGAATTATTCGGATTATTTGAATAAAATCCGAAAGATATCTTCTGACAATCTTTTATTCGTCACATTATTATCTTACAATATCCTACGATACTACGACCCTGTAAAAAATCTGATCCGTGTTTTATCTTTCCATGTTTTTTCCGTGAATGTATCATTTTCATGGAATTAATAGCCTTAAATCATGGAAATTTTCATCTCGCTAACACGGATATCCGTGAATGTATCATTTTCACGGAATTTTTACGAAAGACATGGAGAAATAATGGAAATATTTGGATAAAAATTTTTTATAGGGCGACTTTAGCATCTTTTTTTTCTTGTATATCAGCGTAAATTTTTTTGGTAGTATATTGACATAAAGTAGCAAACTTTTCTACCAGCACAATAAGTATAACTCCACCAATAATTAATTGATGTTTAATATTCAATTATACATTATATACAGTATACAGTATGTATTATTATAAAAAAGTATTACTTGTTACTTTTAATAATAATTAATCATATTTGTTTTTAATAAAGGTAAATCAATTTTCATTTTGATCTACGTATTTAATAAAGGTTAAAATGATTTATTTCTTTAGCTAGTGAATTGTATAATACGTTTAAATTTTGGTGTCTTGGTAAATGTTGCCGTCAATTTAAAAATTCTGAAATATCCACATTGAGAGAGATAATAATCCAATCATATTCATTAGTATATATATCGGCTGGTATAATCATTTAGGTATATATTTTTTGACTTTTTTTTACTATAATTTTGCTAATTAACTTTTTTTTAAAATTTTATCTAAGAATCTTCCATGCCTTCGGTTAGAATACGTTCATAATTTCATTTTAAATATTTAGTTCTATTTAACATAAATTAGAATTTCATCTTTATATATATTATTTACGTTTGTATGAACTGTAGTAAGAACAAGCGTATAAATCCCTCCTCAGTTATGATTTTATATTTTTCGTTTAACACGTGTAATCTATCTGTTTAAAAGTTGTTGTGGATAAGGTACTACTGCAGGATATGAAAGAACATTTTTTATTAATAAACTTTTTTTTTTAAAAAAAAAAAATTGTTTATATTATGTCATTGATATAAAATTTCAAGATAGAAATTAATAATCGTAAATATTCATTACAGGAACCTGTTTTCCTTAATATGCAGTAACTGTATTGTAACTGCATCCAGAGACCGGTAAAATTCCATTTTTATAAACCGGAATTGCTGTATTATGGAATAAACGGAATTTTTATGATTTTTTTAAACCAATTTTATTCCGATACGTGGCAACTAGACAATCATTATTGTATATTTTATTGACTATATCGTGATAGAATTTGTAAAAAACTAGTAAACTGATTATTATCGTTTTTGGCTAAAATTATTGTCGTGACACTAGCGCAACCTACATTAAGATGTAAGCCGGCTAGAATTATCAGATGTTTCTTACTATAATTGGTAATTTTTTATCGAAATAAAATCGGAATTTTTTCTGTTATCGTGATAAAAATTTGCGATTTAATATCGGAATAAATATGGGTCTCTATCCCTAGCATTACTCAAAAAAAGCACTCATCACATCCATTACATCCTCAGTGTTTTCATTGTTTATACATATTTATTTGAGAGACTTTTTTTCGAATATCTTATTCTTCACACTTTATTTGTCACTGCACTGTTTTCGTGACAGTATATAATTTCGCAACCAGTGCTTTTTTTCTTGGTAACGTTAAAAAAAATTTTATCTGTTATTTCTGTAAAAACTCCGTAAAAATGAGCTTTTCACAGATCCATTCACGGAAAATATAAATAATTCGATAAGTTCTAGGATATAAGGTTATTAATTCCGGAAATATGAGCCTTTTACGGAAAAAAGACGGAGTATAAGAACGGATTGCGATAAAGTTTAAAAGCCTATCAAAAGTTTATAGAACAGATGAAATAGACACTATTAAAGCACGTGAATTAGAAATGAGCAAACACAGGTATAAAGATCGTTTATATTGCAAAGTTATCAAATTTCAAGAGAAATTTCATAACAGAGAATAACAGAGAGAACAAAATCCAATCAATTTATTATAATCGCTCCATAAAAAAAAGGAAAACAAAAAGAATGGACGTTTATGAGTCATCTGGTGCGGGTAGTATAGAGGACGACTTTATCATTACTAATTTCAGGTACAGTATAACATTTTTAAATTTTTAGGGTTTTTAAATTTACTGCGGTCCGGAATGACTATTTGAATGATCCGAAATGACGTCCCTATAAAAAAAGAAAATTCGGAATTTGTCCTGAAAGTATGGAAAATGTCCGGAAATTTTCCGTGCGTCCGGAAAACATTCGGAAACGGTCACGTTTTGGAACACTTTCCTGACGCACAAATTCCAGACATTTTCTTGACACTCCAGAATTTGTCCAGAATTTGTCCAGAATCGAGCGTCCGGAAAATGTTCCAAAACATGACCGTTTCCGAATGTTTTCCGGACGCACGGAAAATTTCCGGACATTTTCCATACTTTTCAGGACAAATTCCGCATTTTCTTTTTTTATAGGGCGTTAACTATCAGGTGATTTGTAGTGTAGCCTAAAAATTAAAGGTTATTCCGACAGCTGGCGTGCTAGAAGATCAATTTTTACGATTTTAGAAGTTTTTATTTTAATTGGTTCTTTTATTCAACTTCAATAATTCTGAAAAGGGAAACTTTAAATTTTAATTGGTTCCATAGAGTTTATTTTTATATAAATACGATTTGAAATTTAATTTCTTAAAAATTAACTTATTTTTCTTCTTTTTCTTGAATTTTCACTTTATTAACGAACTTGGAAAACGTATTTTTATTACTAATTAATAAATTTTACCTTTTGCATACCATCTGGCTTTAATGAATCATGCACGTAAAGGTGCGGGATTGTCCATACAGTAGTTCCTTTTCGGATACCTCGGACGATACTAAACCATTAGACAAAGATTACAAAAACGCTCTAATAACTTTTTAGTCATCGTTATTACTTTATAGTAAACCATATGTTACATCGTTTACAACTAACACAATTTAGAATAGTGTGAATCATTCCATACCTAACAGTACTCCTTAATCCTTTTTTACGAAGGACGGCCGGTTTTTTTGGTCGGGAAACTTTAATTGAGTGTTAAATAATTTTTCAGAAAAATGATCACATGTCTTAGTTTATTCGGAATAAAACTAGAAAAACGATCATTTGTCGGAGTTTTTTCCAGAATTTTTTTTGTAGGGTCTCCATTTCTCGATCCTCCATGTATTTAACCAATTCATCAATAAAATAGAATAAAATAAATAAATAAATTAAAAGTGCAAAAATCATTACATTTCAAATAAAGGAGATAGATAATTGCCTACTTTGCATCTTCCAGTGAGCATTGCCCGACACTACTTCCAATTCCAATGAAAATTATTGGTAATTCACATAGGAATATTGATTGAATAAGTTCTTCCATATTATAGGCGTTAAGTCTCTGTTTTAACTGTAACACAGGTTGACTTTTGTCCGATCTGAGTGTTCGGTCTAAATAATAGTAAGCATTTGTTTTATAACACCATAAAATCTTACAAAGATAGCTTATTTACTTTTTTTAGGTTCTTGAGTAAAGCAAAAAATAATCTAAACCTAATTGTATAGCTTTGTCACACAGTTCTTACATTTAAGTTTAAGTCGAGTATCTGAAAAAACAAACTCACTGCTTAACTTGCTTAGCATACATCATAAAACAACCAGCTTATCAAACTGGGTTAATGACTTTGAAATACTATGAGAGGGATACAGCAGCTGATTTTATGTTTTGGCGCGGGATAGAATTTTAGTATCAGTATCCTTCGTGAACTCTTTTTTGACGGTTATTAAATATTTTAAATATAAAATGTGTAAGTAACGTCATTGTTGAAATATTTGATTATCATTTTGTGTACACAAACTATTGCAAACAATATAAACAATATATAATCGTGTTCTTGCGGATTAATAATTACGGACGATTGTTAATAAAAAAAATCATTATAATCTATTAGCTTGCCCTGAATGTTATTCAAGACTTGATTGTTCTATATGTAAAAGATGCCTTTACCATTGTAATTGCGGATCTGCTGGTGTTTGTGGTAAGTAATGATTCTAAAATTTTTTTGAAATTTGTAGCCAATTTTTTTCTTTCTTTTCTTTCTCTTTATTTTTTTTTTTTAAAAAAAGAAAATATTATTTCATAGGATTTTCTACATGCATGTCAGATATTGATTGTTCACAATGCAAAAGATGCCTCTACAATTGTAATTGCGGTTCCTCTGGTGTTTGTGGTAAATAGTAGCCCTGCATGCTTTATTATTATTACTTTTCCTTTACAATTTTGTAAATTAAATTATTATTAGGTCACTCTGCATGTTCATCAAATCTTGGTTGTTCACGATGCAAAAGATGTCTTTACCATTGTTATTGTGGTTCTCCTAGCGCTTGTGGTAAATAATATGTTATTACTTTCTTTTTGCTGTTTTATATATATTAATTATTATTTAATTATTATTAGGTTATTCTATATGTAAATCAAGTATTGGTTGTTCACAATGTAAAAATTGTCTCTACCATTGTGATTGTGGTTCTTCTGGCGTTTGTGGTATAATATTTTTTACTTGCCTTTACCATTATTAAAATGTAATATAAATTACTAAAGAAAATTTTTTTTTTCTTTATTAGCCCAACCTACATGTTTGTCATATATTGGTTGTCCGCAATGCAAAAAATGCTTATACCATTGTAATTGTGATTCGGCTGACGTTTGCGGTAAAATTATTTTATTTACCTTTGGTATTTTACAGTATATACTTTATAAATTAATAAAATCTTATCTAATTATTATTAGGTCATTCTGAATGTATGACAATTGTTGATTGTTCACAATGCAAAAACTGTAACTACCATTGTGATTGTGGTTCTGCTGATGTTTGTGGTAAATAATGAATGATTATTACTTGTCTTTGCTATTTTATATACATTATTAATAAATTTTAATTATTATCAGATCACTCTAAATGCAAGGCAAGTGCTGGTTGTTCACAATGTAAAAATTGTATTAAACATTGTAATTGTAATGCCAATGATGGCATTAACAGTAAAAACCGTAAAAACCGTGCGAAGAATCGTGAAAAACGTAGTAGTAAGAATCGCGGAAAAAAAAATTGAAAATTTTGGCGACTACATAAATTTTAATGAAGAAATAAAGAATAACGTATAAATTAAAAATTAAATTCTAAATATCGTGTATATTTAATACAGTACTTCAAACTTGATCATAAAATAGTTAGCAACTGGATTTTTAATAACTACTAGTAATTCAGAGATGGAATTGGACAAGATTAATCGAAAATCAACAATTGAATTCTTATAGTTCAATACTTTTTTAAATAATATTCAAATAATTATAATTAATAAATTTATTTTAAACTTATTAATAACGTGTTAAAATTGTTAAAATGTTTTTTTTTATTCTTCTAAATCTTCAACATTAAACTTTTATAAATTATTTATATATGAATATTAAGAAATATCGAGTATAAAATTTGGATTGGACTGGATAAAGCCTAATAGTCCAGCTTTCCAATTAGTCCATTATTCCATTAGTTCATGAAAGTCATCACAGAGTCAGTTAGTTAAATTGAAACCGCGTATAAAAATTCTTCTTTATCTTACAATCAAATTTTTTTCGAAAATTTTTTTAAAAAAATTTAACGAATGAAAAATATCAAACATAAATATTCTAATTTAGAAGAACTTGCCCTAAACAATCATTTATAAGGGCATCGCTTTTAATTAAGAATTTTAAAATTTATTGCGACTAAATAAAATTCTGTAATTTCATTATAATAACAGAATTTATACTAAATTTACTGTGCTCACTTGATATGACGGATCAGTCGATTTTTGAAGGATAATAAAGATAATAGCACAATTTATAGAGCATTTACATAACGAATATAACGAATTGAATTGTTTAAGAAAATTCTCTTTAACCTTTACTTTCATCAGTTAATTAAATTACAAATTATTATGGGTAATATTCATTTCAAAAGCTATATACTGCTGTATACACAATATGTATAATTTTTGGCTCTATTTCTTTTTTAGTATCTAAGAATAGTATCCGGACTTTTCGTCGAAGTCCATCTCACCGAAACCCATTTTGCCGAAGCAATTTCGCCGAAGGATGTTTCACTGAAGTGCCATTTCGCTGAAATGCCATGGACATTTCCCCGAATGGCAATTTTTCCGAAGGACATTTCGCTGAAGCCATTTCGGCGAAGGGACATTTCGCCGAAGAATATGTAATTTTTTGATTCTCCTTTTCTTTTTAGCAGACAAACGAATTATTTACTCAATGTAAGTCGCGTTTGTTTATTATTTTTTTAATTAAAGGAAAATTAATTTATTTGGTTTTAAGTTCAAAAAAAGATAATAAATTCGTCGTACTTATCAACTTTCCGAAATATTTTTTATCTTTGTATCGAATTGTTAATGATTAAGGAAATATGTTAATCACTAACATTTTATGTCCTTCGGCGAAGTGAACGATTCGGGTAAAAGGATTCGGCGAAATGTCTATTCGATGAAACGCCCATTCGGCGAAATATCCCTTTGGCGAAACTTCTCTTCGGCGAAGATGACTTTGGTGAAACGTACCATAACCTCTAAGGAATTACATTGTGCGCTAAATTCCATGGTTCTAGCATCTTCATTATCTGTTAAGAATAACCTTAAAGTGTCGTAAATATCTTCGATTGCTGTACGTCACGATAACAGTAGCATACTTGTCAACAAAATTTAATACACTGTATCGATCGTATTGAATTAACAGTAAACAGATTAGTTTATTAAATTTTTTAGGAATAAGATAGAAATGTCTGAATTTTTTTTTCAAAAAACAGGAAAAAAAAAAAATATATGATATAAAGTTAAAATTAGATAAGTACAATAACTTATAATACACAACTAATAAAATATAAATACAAAATAAATAAATTTATTTCCAAATTAATCAAATCTATTATTATTATAATGTTTGAGAAAAAAAAAATAAAAGTAATTTTTTTTCTATTAAAATAAATAAACGACTAATTATTACTTTTTTTTTTACATTAATAACATAAAGTTTCATCATCACTAACACTATTATTATTAGTATTATCAAGTTCAACATCTTCAAAATCAGATTCACTATCTTCTTCTCTCATAACATAACAATCTTTTTTACTATTATGTGAATTCCTATTTATTACACTTTTCACTATTCCAACTTTATCAATAATAGTATTCCTTTCACTTTTTTCTCCTAGTTGATCTTGTATACTATCCTTTGAAATACGCCATTTTTTAGGTGACCCATCTTTACCTTTCCTACTAAATACGACACTATTTAAATATAAATATATTCTATTCAATACACCCGAATGGAATAATCCATATTTTCCGTTATTTGTCCATAATCCTCTTCTTTCCATAAAATCTTCCAAGTCACATCGTTCCATTGGTTGATAACATATGCTTGATCGATATAATGGTGAAAAATCTTGTTCATATTTACGTAAATGTGGAATTTGCTGTCCATTGTTTTTCCATAAATCTTCCCAGAATAAGTACCACCATTGATGTACTTTTGATGTATGAACCGCTCTCATACGTTCATATAAATAAATCATTGTCGGATATTCACGTTCCGGTATCGATTGAACAAGCTGATTCTTTTCTGTGGTTATTAATAAGGATGGAAGTGCTTCCAAAGATATTGATGGGTTATTAAATACATTAATATGAAATCCGTATGTTAGTGTTGTTTCTTTTGATATTGATTCATTCTGACAATATTGGCGGTATTCATCCATAGTCTTCTGTATTTGAACAAGACCCAATCCAATCAATTCACGATTATCCCCGAATAGTTTTTCAAGTTGATGTGTCATCTTAAAGTCACCGGTTATACCAATAACATTATGTCCAACAACTTGAGGGCATTGATTTCCCTTATATGTGGAGTCTGTATATGTAATTGTAACTTTAAATCCGGGATTCATATTATGTTCACGCCAAAGTGATTCTTGTTTCCTTTGAATAGACAAGACACCTCGATGATTATGAACCTAAAATTAAAAAAAAAAAATTTTTTTTTTGAATATTTCTCATAATGTAAGATATATTTTTTTTTTTTTAAAAAAATAAATTATATATACCTTATCCGAATCTGTAAAGCAAGGTCCAATAATATTCTTTCCCTCCAAAGCTCTGATCTTTTGTCTAATCAATCTTCTTCGTTGAATTACTTCGTCTTCATTTTGTTGTAAATATCTTTGAATTTCCCATTCTTGTTTCAATGTTACGATATTATCATTTTCATCATAACAAATTACAATACAAAATGGGAAAGGTATAACAGAAGCTTTTCCGAAATATGTTTCCTTAACATTTGGATATTCTTCAGCATAATACATATCAACTCCAACATAATTATTCAAGATTTTTGATCTTATACTAGACATTGATGATGATAAGGTTTTCAAAGATAAAACATAACTTTGTGAACCTACTTTTGATAATATTTTACTATTTTCAATATGTCTTTCTCCTACGCTTCCGCTAAAATCTAATAAATATGGAACTTCACTTTCCTCATTAAATGATAAAGTTTTTCCCGCTGGCGGTTTAAAATTATCATTAGTTAAAAGTAATTTTGTCCAAGTATCTTGCCATATCCTTTCTTTTATGAATTTATCAAAATCTAAACCTGATGATGAAATGTCAAATGAAAATTCTAATTCCTTTTTTCCAAAATTTCTTCCACCACCAACTACACTTCTGGTTCCATAAGCGCTATCACTTCCCGCATATCTCGTATTAAAATAATTTATCTCTTTACATAGATACCAAATGATTATTGTTAAAACTGCAATGTTAATTACGAATAATCCAATACCATACCCTTGAATAGGTCCTGCTTGTAATACAATAAGCAATCCGACAAAACTTGTTATCAAATATGCAAATCTAGACCAATATTCAGCAGTATTGAAATTTGAATAAACGAATGGCTCGCTCTTCCAATGTGGTATGAAAAATAACACAAATAATACAATTTTTAATGCTTGCGCTATGGTGGAAATTCGCTGACGCGTCGTTGATCTGAATAAACAATTATCCTTGGAAAAAACGACTATCAAGAAAATAAGGAGGAATTTCATTATCATTATGAATGATTTATAAGTACTCCAATTATCATTATAACCTAAAATAAATAAAAGTAGAATAAAGGTGATTAATTAAGAATTTATTATTATAAATAAATAAATTACTATCGAAAAAAATCGTACCATCATATATAAATTTGTGAGGATTTTTCTTATTATCATCCTCCTCATCTTTGTCATTTCTAGCAAAACCAAACCTATTCATGTGCTTATTCACTGTTTTCCTTAATTTAATTGGGAACCAAAAGGAGATCAAGGCCAAATTCAATATCCCCAAAGCAATTATGAAAGGCGAAAGATTCGTATCATTCTTATTCATACTTGTAACATAACAGAAATCTTTTGGAGAACGTAAAGCACCATTTCCTACGTCAACAAAATCTGGGAAATCAACATCGGGAAGGTAAGGATTCTTCACTGGCCAAAAATTATCAGACCAAACTAATGCATCCAATGATAATTTTGTTAACGGAACATATAATGTTGTGAGAATAAATACTATTATGTGACTTTGAAGTAAGGAAAAGCGAGAGGATGATTCAAGATTCTAAGAAAAAAAAAAAGAGGTAAATAAATGAAATAATTTATAATTTATAATTAACAGGAGAAATTTAATATAGTTTACCTCAACGTCTGTAACTTTCTTCCAATTTGCAATTTTCCTGAACATGAACAAGCAAACAAATCCAATAACACAAAATATCAAAAGGAATACAGCTCCAAATCCAAATACTTGATCCATATTAAAACTCATGAAATTAGGTACTGATCTTAACAATATATAAATACGATCATTACCAAGCATTCCTGGTGTTACAAAAGACAAAGCTAATGCTGTGAACTGTATGAAATCTCTTATTATTTCTAATTTCAAAAATCTTTGTTCATACAATATCGAGGTAGATTCTTGACATCCTTCTGAAGAAGGAGGCAAAGACCTAGCGATTCCCCTCTCAGAAGGTCCATCATTTTTACTTTCGTCTTTTCCTTTCACTTGACTTGTAGATGGAGTATTATTAGGATAATTATCCGTGGATTGACTAATAAGAGGGAACAAATTTTCAGGATTTTTAAAAGATTTTCCTTGTGCCAAGAAATTTTCATATTCCTCAGAAGTCATAACCTCTTTTGGATTAGAGAATTCTGTTTTTGGAAATGATCGAATATACTCATCAAGATGTGGTAAATATACCCAAGGAGTTCCAGGTAAGAAAAGTCCATTTTTTTCAAATCCATCAAATGGATTTATGATAAATCTTGAAGAACAAGCAGGATCAAGTGATTCGGTCATATTGGCAACAGAAATATCCAAAGTATTCGCGTTCTCTTTATCATCATTCATTATAGGACTGAAATCTTTTACAGTCATATTATTCTGTTTATCCTTTAGAATAAATTCGAGGGAAAGTGTGTACCTTTGAGGACGTGTCTCCGAGTAAGGATATGTTTGTATTTGTACAGGTTTATATTTATGTTGTGTATGACGACGCCTTTGTTTATATTTCGCAACTGAATCTAAACTTTGTACAGATGTATACTTTTTTTGTTTACGTGATTCATCATCTGAACTAATCATGTTTCCAGAACTATCTATTATATTCACGACAGGATTAATTGGATCACTTTCATCATCAATTCTAGTTGAAGATCTTGAATGTGTTACTTGCATTTCAATAGCGATAGCTTGTGGATATAAAACGGTCTCCGACAAATATTTCTTTCTCTTATCTCCTGATAAACCTGATGGTTCAGATGGTTCTTCAGTATCTACAAATGGATTATAATTTTGATCCTCATTTTCCACATCTGTAGCATCATTATCTTCCTTAGCGTTATCTAAATATGAATTAAATGGATTTAAATCTAATCTCAAATTTGCTGAAGAAGTATTAGGTGATTCGGCAAAAAAATTCCAGGAATCAGTATCTTGTGATAAGAAGGAAAAAATATATGAATTAGCAGTTAGATCCGAAGAATTTGCTCCAGATGATCTTGATACAGGTTCTTGAAATGAAGTTGCAGATTGAGGAAAAAATTCCGGAACCGTTAAAAATGATGCCGAAGACTTTTTGAACCATAAATCAGAAGATTTTCTTCCACTTTTAGTCAATATATTGTTGTTGTCATTATTGTTGATATTATTGCTTTCGATTTCATTCTTTATAGAAGCAATTTGCTGACTTAAAGAATTTAAAGAATTATCCGGTTCAGGTTTCAAAATTGGTGAAATGGGTCTATTTTGATTATCCGGCAATGGTTTCCAAAGAGGAGAAACAGTATTACTTCCAGTTGCAACAGCTGGATTCCAGAAAGGTGAAATTGGAGTGATTTCAGGTAATAATTCTAACGCAAAATTTGAATGTAAAAATTCTGGAGAATTTGGTATTGAACCAATAGGTGTGGAATCTAGATTTGGGGACTGTGCAATTGGTGAAGATGTATAATCAGATAAGATATCCTCCGTGGTTTCCTGATCAGTTGGTGATGAAAGTGAAACTTGTGGCAATGACTCTGTAAATGTTTTTGGTGATGATATTGTGGATCTTTTTTGTGAATCATCTTTGGGAGAAATTGGGGATTTTGGTTCTGGAGTAGGTACTTTGATAGGAACGACGGATTTTTGTTCCAAAATCGATGTCGTTTTCTTAGGGGATTTTGGTTCTGGAGTAGGTACTTTGGTAGAAACCACGGATTTTTGTTCCAAAATCGATGTCGTTTTCTTAGGGGATTTTGGTTCTGGAATAGGTACTTTGTTAGGAATGACGGATTTTTGTTCCAAAATCGATGTCGTTTTCTTAGGTGATATAGGACCTGATTCTGATTCGGAAACAGATTGTTGTTGATTTGATAATGAAGTTGATTTGTTAATGAATGGATTTTGTTCAACCTGTCTCGAAATTGATGAATTTTCTCCTCCTGTATTAACATTTTGTTTCAAAGGTAAACTTGACGTGTTTTCAAGAAAATCAATATCAAACTCAGAAGTTGGTCTAATTTGTGGTAAATTTTCGATATGACGTTTAGTTAACTGAATATTAGATGATTCGAATTTTGGAGATTTTATTTCTGATTTTGGTTTTGATTCAATTTTAGGTTTTTGATCATCATTTGAATTTGATTTTGTGTCTGATTTTAATTTCAATTTGATTGTAGGAGAAACAATTGATTTGATCGTAGAAGAAATAGGAGACGTTATTTTCTTTGGTTCCTTAACGACTTGTTCCTTTTGTTCCTTTTTTGGACTAGAAGGTGATATTATAGTTTCAGATTCATCATTAAATAATTGAACTTCTTTAACTGAATTTGTAGAAGTTGTTGGTGATGGAATTACAATTGGATCAGGAATATTTGATCTTCGTTTCATTGAAGGTGGTTTGATAGGACTATATAAAGGTTCCGTAAATGATAAAGATTCATTAGAAGTTGTTGTTATTGATAAATCAAGTGGATTAATATCTCTTTGATTCAATTTTGATATCAAAGTATCTGAAATAGCATCAGATAATGGTTGCGAAATTGATAAAGGTTCAATTGTTTGATTTCGTTTTACTGGAGACATTGGTTTTGCTGACATTGATTCAGGAATTGTAGTTTGACCTTTTTTCATCGAAGTCAACGTTGTTGGAGAAGTTGGAGGTGAAACAACTTTTTCAAATTTAGATACAATATCTGACACATTTTTTACAAGTGGTAAAGAATCACGTTGAACCAATTGAGTCGCAGCCTTTGCTCTACTTGTAGGATCACGTAGTTGAACAGTTAAATTACTTTCATCTGGAGGATTAATTGGAGAACTAAAAAAGATGATGATGATTAAGATTGATTCATGAGTAACATAATTAATAAGAAAAGAAGGAGTGATATGATTAAATAAGATAACAAACCTTTCTTTTATAAAAGTAACATATGATGATGAAGATTCCGCATCATTTGAAGAAGTTGTGAAATCATTTATTGATATTTGAAGTTCAGGATTATCTTTTTGTATAATACTCTTTGATGTATCCGTTATCGATCTATTTATATTTGTTGGAGAAAGAGGTGGAGAACTTGTAGGAGTATCACGAAAATTTCTTTGCCTTGGAGATAAAGGTTGTTTTGGAGAAGATGGAACAGATGCATTTGGTGATAAAGGTCTTTTTGAAGATTTTAAATCTGAACCTGATTTTTCTTTCTCTTCTTGTTGTTGTGATGCCCAAAATTTTATAAGATCATTCACAGGTTTTGTTTTTGGTGGTATTTTATTACTAGACATTTTTTTTTATATATATATATGTGATTGTTTCTTTTAATAATATTATTATTAATTTTTTTTTTTTAAATTCTGTATCAATAAGGCTAGCTATTGAAACAATATATATATATTAAGTCCAATTCGTTTTTTTTTTTTCAATTTTTAAATTACAATCCGAATATTATGTATTGTTCTGTATGCTATTTATAAATAAGAATTGTTAGAAAATTACGGTAATAAAGGTGGAAGGTTAAGAGGGAGGGAAGAAAAAAGTGCGAAGAGAAGAGAAGGGAAAAAAGAAAACAGAAAAAGAATATGTTTTATAAAAATAAGGAAAGAATAAAAGTTGGAATAAATAGCAAGAGAATAATAATAATAAAAAAAATAAAAATTAAATAAGATAAAATAAATAAATATAAAAAAACTTCCTCAAAAAAAAATATATAAATATAAACGGTTTTTTTTTCAGTAAATTTTTTCGAGGAAAAATTTAATTTTCTATAACATATATAATATTCATGATGATATTAAGAAAAGAAAAAGAAAAAGAAAACCGAATAATAACAATTATTATTACCTAAATTAAATTAAATAGAATAAAAAAAAAAAAAAATTAATATGGTCTTCTGGAATAAAAATATATAATACAAATATATATGCGAAGAAATTCCTAAATAAAAAAAAAAACACTTTTAAAAGGGTTTTTTTTTTAAAAAAAAATAGGATTGAATTGAAAAAAAAAACGAAGGATGCAGAAAAAAAAAGGAGTGACTCAGTTGCGCGTCCAAAAAAAAAGTGATCGATTCTTTTTCTGTATAACGTTATTCCTTTCTTTCTTTACACAATCAAAACAAACGGGAACGAAAAAAGAAATTAATTAAAACTATCATCGTTCGAGTGGAATGTAACGCAATAATTTAAATATTCGAAAAAAAAGAGTAAAGAGCGATCGGGTTATGCAGGGTTAATTGGTTGCAGAAATTTGTTCAATTATCTTGGAATATAGATTTCACCACATTTTGTTTACATGATCATATTAGGAACATTGAAATTACAAATCATGTGATAAGATGCAGTGTAAGTTTTTTATAACACAAATAAGAAAGTTTAATTATCATTTTACTTTTATAACCTTTATTTGTGTATTATTATAGTTTAACAACAGGATATTAAATACTTCATGGCGTATCTTGAATTGGTTATTTATTTATAATAATGCATTTTTATTTTATTTTATCAGTTAGAACAATATCATTATCAGTTATCGTTTTTCTTAAGCTTTTAACCATTCACAATCTTATCACCAACATATTAATGACGTAGCATTTTATAATTATTCGGACATTAGAATTTGATTTAATGTTACGTTACATTACGTCACATAATTGTGTTTTCTTTATATATATATTGTAATAAAAGATTTATTTGTTTAAAACAATTAGTAATTAATAATTGATAATAATTGAAATTTAATTGAATATAATTGAAAAAATTAATTAAATTATTTCCTATCTAAAAATTTAATGATAATACTAATACTCTTTTTTAAATTAATTTAATATTATATTTTTAGTTTTTTTTTAATTAATTTAATATTATATTTTTATTAATTTAATATTATATTTTTAGTAAAAATTCTTTTTGTGGTTAAAACTTGTTTATTTTTTGGAATATCCGAAATTCATCAACTTTATTTACATATAAAGAATTAGATTTTTATTGAGTTTAACTTCTTTTATCTTATTGAATTTAACGAATATATTTTTAAAGGAATATCGCGTCATTGACGTTGTGCTTCGTGTCACATTTACGCAGTGGTTTGATTTGTTTATCAAAATTTATTATTATCAAATTTCTTTTTCTTTGTAGAAGTTCGATTCCACAGAAATTTGAATTTTAATTTATTTCCTTTATCGTAACTATCGTAACTTTTTTTTTTTTTTTTACACCAAATTTTGGAATATAATATTTAAGACTCATTACAAAGATTGATTTTCATAGGAAATGTATGTAATTCGTTACGTTATCAAGTATTACAAGGACAGTACAAGGACTATCTGAAATGCTTCTGAAATCGTAATCTGAGGTACAACATATTAGATGCTTGTCAATGCAGTGATGCAGTGATGATTATTTACAAAGATATAACGGACTCTCCGGTTTCACTGAAAAAAAAAATCGTTATATTCGAAATTTAATAAGTTTGATATACCAATTCCTTTTATGTTCATATACAGTATATACTTTATCGTAAAATTCGTTATATTGCATAGTCGTTATTTCAAGTTCTGACTTGAATTTATTTCGAAATGGGTTATTCACTCTTTTAATGTCGGGTAATTGTTCCTACATTTGATATTCCCTTTACTTGGTCTATTTGTCCATCTGAAATTTTTAAAAATAAACTGGTTAAATTCAGTAAATTTTAAATCATCAAAAATTCATTTAATTCCATGGAATTCCATGGAATTCCGTGGAATCATCCGTTACTTATGTAAACATTACATCATAATCATCATGATTTCAATCTAAGTTGTAGATTTTATCCTAATTTGTATATCATGATCAATTCAAAATTCCATGTGTGGTTTGAAAAGTTCCATCGTCCATAAATTTTTTACCATTATCCTAATTTTTATGACCGAAAAAATCACTATGACAAAAAAATCAACATTGTATCAAGGTTGTAATATGTTCTCATTAAATGAGAAAACTAACTATAAAAATCACTATACCGGTGGTTTAGTAGTTCCTCCTTTACCTCCTGATCCTAGCAAACCTACTATGTCTTTTAATTTAAACTTTAAAACTAACGAAGAGGTTTGGTATGGTACAGATTATTCATTTACTATGGATAGAGATGAGTTGTTAATGAATTCAACTGTATCTAGGAGAGCTAAAAGAATTCAGAAATATGGAATAGTCGAAAATCCTCCTCGTCCCCTCAATTCGTTTTTTTTATATGCTAAGAATGAAAACAATAAATCTGATTATAAAAATATGCGAGCTAAAGATAGGTTAAAAAAAATTAAGGAACGTTGGAAGAGTGAATCAAAGGAAACTAGAGAACTTTTCGATTGTGGTGCAAATTTAGCAAAGGAAAGACATGCTAAAATACATAAGGGTTATCAATTTACAAGGAAGACCCGACAAAAAAAGCAAAATACTATAGTAAATATTGAAGATAATTCTTTTATTCCATCCAAATATTCCTCGAAAATCCCAATTACATCATCATTTTCGTCAAAAGAACATTCTCAAAACATTCCTCCTTATTTTCAATTTAATGACAACACTTTACAAATTCCTATTGAAAAATATTACGAACAAACCCCTCCTACAGAATTTTTACCTACTTCCATCCAGACAAATTCAATTGAATTTTCTGTTTATGATTTACCAGCTAATTACAATCAAATTGAGTCATCTATTTCATCCAATTTGGAATTAATGATGAACCAGCATAATCAGCATTCAGATCCTCAAGTTGAGTCCATTCTGGATCAGTATTTATTAAATCCTGCAGATACTTGGATGCCTTTGATGCCTTATATGCAACTGGAATCTAATTTCATTTCTAATCTTACTAATGATTTGTCGATGAATGAAACACCGAAAATCAATATACCAGAAAACTCTTACAATTCCAGATTCGAACTGGAACCAAATAATAATCCTCAATGGATAGGTTGACAGGAACTTTTTGACTAATTTTATATTGAAATCTCATCATTAGATCTTGGAACAGGTAAATATCTCTTTATAATCACATATATTATAATTTTTAAAAACAGATGTGATAGTGACTATAAGCAGTTTGTGATAGATTTTATATATGAAAATTTGGAATTTATGACAATTTGATATATTAAATTTCACACATTTCTCGTTAACTAATGTCTTTTTTCATTTTTTTGATTTTGTGAAATTGAATGCTTAATTACATTTTTATAATTATTTGAATCAAAATATTTAGTGGTGCTCAGTACTAATCTATATAGTTCAATTATTGAGTTTATTAATTATTTTTCAATGTATCATAATGGATTTCAGATTTTTATTACCTGTGATAATCGACACCACACGATTTTTTTTTTGCCGAGGACGATCTTATTTGACGCAGTATTAATTTTTAATGCTGTAATACTGGGAAGGGTCACGCGATTTTTTGGAGTAGTTTCGTACACAAAATACGAATAGAGAGACTTTCCCCAGCGTAACCACGAAAAAATGTCACGAAAATTCATGTGATTTTTTCATCGCGGTATCAGACCCCTCTGTTTTGATTTAGAAATTTTTCAGTAGGAAAAATCAATAATAATGGAATTAAATAAATAACTTACTCCCTATATTATTAAAAATAAAGAATTAATTATATGTAAATATTATATAAATAAGAAATTTTTTAAATCAAGAATTTAGTTAGTTTAAATTACAATAAGTAATAAGAGAATTAAATAAATAACTTACGCTCTATATTATTAAATAATTTTTTAAATAAAGAATTTAGTTAATTTAAATTATATGTAAATATTATAACAATAAGTAATAATCCATAATGCCAGCCATTTCGGACGTTTTTTCGTGGTAGACAAATAGAAATAATGGTGGAAACTTAATTTTAATAAATCATAATATAAAAATATTACTTTTAAATTAAAGCGTAAATAATTATATATATATATTTATTTATTTAATTGTTAAACAATTTAATAAGTTAGATCGTTACTTATTATCAAATGTTCTTTTTTCTACGCACAATTTGGAAAATTCAGATTAATTACAAAATTCAGTTTAGTTTATGAATTAAATTTTGGTAGTATTTATTGAAAGAAATTCAAAATCATACAAAAATCATAATTGATTTATAATTGTTGTCCCTAGAATTGATAATAATACCAATGAAAAATAATTATTTTATTAAGTTGGCAACATTCGCTTCTTCAATATTGTTTCTCTATTTTAATAAATTTTCTTTATAAAAATAAATTAATTAATTATATAAATTAAATCCTGAGAGAAATATCAAGAAGTGACGGTTATGTTAGTACATTAGATAATATTGGTTTATGGATAGATAGTAAAAACAACGAAAACCTAGATAGCAATTCGGAGTAGCGGAAAGGAACTGCCGTTACTTTTACATAGTAAAAGACGTCTAGGGGCGAGCAGGCATATTTTATGCTTTTTTTCCTCCCTTGAAACATCCGCTACTCCATTATCTTTAGACTTATATTTTTTCTAATGTACTACTTTACGAAAAGATGATAAAAACATTTTTTTTAAACATGTGTGTGTTTTATAAGGTCAAATAAGCATTGCATGTAACTCATTCTTGAGTATTAATAATACATCCTTTTTTTCTTTAGCGTCAAGATTTTTATTATTATTTCACATTTTGCTCAAAAGAAACAACGTGACTTTGTCTGATTGAAGAATAAACTAATCTTGAGACCTAATAAATACAGTTTCTTTACCCAAACTCTCTATTTTAAACGCATCGAAATCTTTGGAGCATGACACGTGTATGAAATCCTCCCTCAATTTTTGAGCATTTTTCGCTTCACTGCGAGTATTATCAGCAAAATTTACGCTGCGAATTTCAATAATAGCTATACTTTTTGCATATTTAACAATCACTTTATATTTTCCTTCTATAGGTTCAAATTTGTCCTTGTGCCCTTGCATATCTTCACCATCTCTCAAAAGTTCTATCGCCCATTCTAACTCGTTCACGTAGGAATCTATCCTTCCTTCACATCCAAAAACTGAACCTACATCACACGACAAAAATTTATCATTTCCCAATACCCGTGTACCAATTCTATAAAATTCCTTCTGCCACATTTGTTCCAGGATTCTTCCGTCATATCCAAATCCAAGCGTTTCTCTTAAAATTTTCCCACTATTTTCATTACGCATTGCTGTGAAAACCTTTACAATAAACTGATATAAATCTATGGGAGTAATATCAACACTATTTTCAACTCCATAATTTTGCTGAAAAAATGACCGCCTAAGAAGAGGCGCTGCAAAAGTTAAATATATATCGTCCACAACCGCAAGTACTCCAGTTTTGACTAGATAAGAAGCATCTGGATCCGGGTTATTTATTGAGAAAGGAACTTTTCCTTTTATATAAGTATCTTCACATAATTTTAATCAGTTTCCATTCCCATTCTTTTTAAGTGATTGAAAGGATTTATGATATCAAATCTTAGACTGACGGCAGGATCATTAGGATTAACACCTTCATTGGAAGGTCTTATTACCAGACCAGAAGGTAACGACGTACCACCAAGGCCAGCTGAAAAGACTGAAAGTTAGAAATAGAACAATGCTATTAAAGAATACCAACTTATACGTACCTTGTCGAGGCAGATAGCCAAATTTTGCAATGACACGAGATATATCAGTGGGCCCTTTATCTAGTATAAAGAAAGCAGAGACGAAGGTGATCAATATATTATATAGAAAACAGATAGCGAAATTATCTTTTGTTCGAGAGGTAAAAAATTGGGAAACACTTACCAGTGGTGGTGACGGGCGGTTGTATGATGATACGGATATTCTTGGAATCATACGTAAAGATATCGCCAATATCATCAATTGGAGACAACTTTTTACCTCCGAGTTCTTGTATAATACTATTTTCTTCCTCCATATCACGGGATCGGCTTTGAAGTGTTTTCAGTTTAACGTTCTCTGTATCGTAAGGAATATTCACCAACCATAGGTTCAACTCGTTGGCATCAAATTTTTTGTCTTCGAAATAGTTCTTATTCTTCTCATAAAGTATATCTTTGAGCTCCGCAATGGTCATTTTTATCTGGCCATCAACTTTAAAGACGCTACTAAGATCTGTACCTGCCACAAAACAAAATATCATGATTCCAGTGAAATATCTGCAAACGCGAAAATCGAGGGTTAAAGTAAAATGTCAAATAAAGACCTTTTTGTATATTTTGCATACCAGATAATATGACCAAGGATCTTCTCCGCCGTCTTTCATACCCGCATCTTCGTACGCAACAAATAGAGGTTTCGGCAACTTAAACGACGGTTTCCCTTCAGCATCTTGCGTACATTCCATGAAGTACCATTTCTCCGCATCTGTTACGATTCCCATACTTTATCAAACCCATGTTCATCATCCATTTCATTTGCTTTACGCTTACGGCCTAGTGACGATTCCAACTGTACAGTGGCTTGTGCAAAACCCTGCTTAAAACATCTTTTTTGACCTCAACTAGACCGATAATTCTTCCGGTCGTACGTGATTCAATTCCATAGTCAAGATTTTCGCGTCCACTTTTCCCTTCGATCAGTTTCTCTGGTACGACCTTGATTTGATCCTTGAACGGGTAAGTTGCAGAGACGAGATAAGTATACGAATAGATACTTTTGGTGGCCTCATAGGATACTTGTTGCAACACGAGTCTCCAATTCATCAAAAAGTTTACGTAACGCCTCTTTCTATTTCTCATTCTTAGTGTTCGCACATCCACACGAAAAAATGGGATACACGTCGATGCTTGGGTTCGCTAAGTCCATAGAATTCACACACTTTCGGGAAGGTCCATTCATTGAAGGGTTTCGAGGGAGTCTCAATGAGTACAGTAAACTTGAGGCTGTTTTTAGATACTAGTGATCGCAACATCTCCCGGAAAGCGTCATCATTCCTAGGTGAATATCTCCCTCCGTCATTAATGAAGTTGAGCACTGCTCCATCATTTTCAAGCGCTGGTGGTTGGTACGTATCACGTATTGACGTTTTGAGGTCTTCGAGAAAAGCGTGATCGATATTCACTGCCCATTTGTATGACTTCCGCTTTTGACTAACAACGACGTCGAACTCTATAATGCAACAACCTGGTTAGTAAAGTTCGAACAGTGGTATTACCTCATAACCTGAAGATTTCAGCGAACAATGTTCGCCCAAATTTCTTGGCAAATTTCCCTGACGGGAAGTGGGGTTTTCCGTCACTGAAAAAAGTACGTACCATGCACGGACTTGTTACGAGTTCGTCAAGTAATTTCTGTTCGCGATCCAGTCGAAGCAGGTGGTTCAACTAGGACGTGAATATGTTCCTTAGCCGGTGAGTCAGCGAAGTACTTCGAAATCTTTTTTATTGCAGACAGCTCGTCACTGCCATTGAGCTTGAGATTCTTCAACTGATCGTCAAGGTGATCGCCACCAATTTCTACCTTCCATAGCTTGAATCTATCCGCAGGAAAATGGTCGAACTCTGGTGCTTTTCCGCCTTTACAGCTTTTTGAGTTCACTAACAGGCTCGTCCCTGCTTATTTTAACAGAGAAAGCATTCGCGGTCGTATTTCCTTTGACAAGACAGAATAACGTGATAGACATAACGGCTTTTATAGTATTTTTTGTGAAATGCTATTGGCTCAAAGTGCGGTGTGTGAGGGACAAGAGTAAAAAAGAATTAAAGAATTTTATTTGCCAAGTGGTACTATATGTGACGGTTGTCAGACCCTGTCGTATGACGCATTATTATGTAGTACAGTAGTACTTGAACAAACATCCTCCGAGCTTGTTGATCGACATTCCGGACCTCTAGCGCCTATTACTCTATCTTGTCTTACCCCGAAGGTGCTCCAGAGGAGCTATATTCTTGACCGTAATAAAACCTGTTGCCCTATCGTATATGTGTATATACTCGACCGGATTACACACCGAAGGAGGAGGAATATACTGCGTAGGGTTAGTAATAAACTTACTCATTGTCTTACGCCGATTATTCCTCGATTTAGATTTTAATGTTTATATAGAATATTTTTGTAAATATATTAACTTTTTTGGCAATTATTGCGATAAAAAAAAAATATTGTGTATTTATTTATAAATCAACGTGACAAAATTCGCATCACTCATTCACTCTATAATAAGTTTAAATTTATTTTGCCGTTGTACTTAAATATATTTAGAAATCAATTTTTATTTATTATATATACATATGTGTGATAAAAAATTTTAATAAATTTCCCCACTAATAAAACAATTAAATTCTATAAAAATATCTATTTAAATTTGTTTTACCCAAAAATGCATATATATAAAACCCGCTTCACAATAATTTCTTTTGCATCCTTTTTAGCTTTAATCTTCCATTCAATAGTGACTTCTCCAGAATTATATTTTGATTTGCACCTTTTAGTAGTTATGCCTTCAGCACAATTGGCCACAATAGCTAATGGATTATTTTTTGAGGCGGATCATCAAACAAGACAACATAGGTTTGTTGTTCTTCATTATAAAATCTTTGATTCCATAATGGATTACTCAAGATTTCACTTAATGTTTGATATCTAGTAGTGCCTCAGAAAATACATTTGTAAATATTTTTATTGCTACAATGGTGAATATATCCTTTGAAAATATCAAAAAACTGATGCTCAGTACAAGCAAGAGATACTAATTGGTGACCTCCCTTTTTGAACCCATTTTGAAGTTTGCAATGAATTAAATAAACCAGGATATTTTTAAAACTTTTATTATTTGTTTCTTTAAATTATTTCGCGGAATGTTATATTTTTTCACAATAGTCAAATGCCATGAAAGTCCGCTTTGCTTCTTGAATATTTTTTGACAAGCGGAACAGGAAAATTCTGATGTATTTATGAGTGGAATAGTGCTTGACATATTAATATTACCACTACAATAATCTGAAAAGTTAAGAAAGCATAATGATAAGAATACTTTTTAAATACTTTATTAAAGTTACCATTAGTAATGGTCAACATTTGAAATCGCGAGAAGTTACCTTCTGCTTCTTGAGCTCATCAGTTTTTGGCTCTGCTCATCGGTTTGACGCGTTTTTTCATATGTTTTTTTTTTATTTTAGGTGAGTTCGCTAAATTTGATCATTTGATTTTTTTTTTTTACTAATTGATGTAGTGTTGATCCAATTTCAATAATTAGCTGATATGAGGTAATTACCTTAAGATATGTCTGCAACCCTACTTATATATCGCTCATTACAGTATCTGTTGTTCTTTGTATTTCTAAAAATTTTGTGATATTACCACTAATAAAACTCCAAATATAGTGTTTGTGTCCAAAAATTTTGCAATTTCTTCGTCTTTAGTCTATTTGTACTTCTGCATTTTCTAATATTGCTTTTCTTTCTTCTTCATTTTTGTTTCCGTATCCTTTTAAGCTCTTAAAATCGTCTTTAGACGGTGAAATACACATTTTTTTTTAGTTAAAACAGCCTTTTATTATTATTTTTTTTTTATATGATTTTCATTAAGATTATTTACGCGAAAAAAAAATTTGATTAACGTGACTAATAATGACTGACGTAATTTTGATCATCGTTCATGTGATTCGACTTTAGTTTAGCTTTACGTGCTTAAAAAAGTATTTCGTTATTATGTGCGTATAAATTCATTTACATGTTTCAAAAAATTTGAAATTATTATCAACTTTTATATCAAAATTTTCATTTAAATATAAACTCTGAATTTATTGAGCTTAATTAAAAAAAAAATTTGTCATATAGTATAGATAGTATAGTTTATAAATTTCTCCATGATAATAACCCAAAAATTTAAAATGAAAAAAAAAATTGGTTATAAGATCGTATAGATCTATGTATAGTTTCATCATATTCATGAATAGTTATCTCATTCTCACAAATAAAAGGAAATTCCAACGTTCAGAGAATAAATAAAATTTGATCATATTTATTGATACCAAATAAAAAAGTCTCATGAATTCCCAGGAGTTTTGCTGTAAAAAATAAGAATTCTCATCTTTTGCGTTATGCTCTACAGTTCTTCGTTCTATAATTTTTTGTTGTTGCGGCTTGAATATTTACATCGCAAAAGTATTAATATTGATCCATGCGACGGTTGAGATTTGGCTCATTTATGGTATATATATATTAAAAAAAAAAATTCTTTCGATATATTTTATTGTTCTAGTTTATTACATATATTTTTATTTTTTTAATCTATAATTAATCATCATCATTTGGGCTTTTATCTTTCATTTCTTACTTATGTATTCATTATGATAATGAACATTGATCTTGTTCTTAAGGGTGTGGACTTAAACTTCATGGTTACGTCAACTTTTTTAGAGTCAACGTCGTCAGTGGCGTTACATTGCCATGTGACTTCGTAAATGACTTTTGCCGTAGACTTGACATCATGTTTTCAAGTTTTAATTCTTTTTACATACATACTACGATACCATAACGATAAGAAAACACTAATCGAGTAGTAAGCGTAATAATAAAGGAAATGGAATTTATTTTTTAATACTAATTTTTTGAACTTGTTTAACAGTTAACGTCAAGCCGTATCTCACGTCAACGAGGACCCCGGAAACTTCATATAAAGGTTACCGGTAAAATGGGTAAGTTATTATAAAAAATCAAAAATTGTTATTAGTTAAGTCGGGTAATTTTATTATAAGTGCAATTAAAGTTTTTAGTTAAATTGGGCCAGATTGTTATTATATAAAATGGGTAATAATCTTATAATTCATTTTTAGGTTATTATTATAATGGGTAATAATATAAAACAAAATGATAAAGAATTAGAAAAAGATAATGATATTATAGTTGACAATAAAGATGTTTAATATGAAATTTAATTAATTCATATAATAATTAGTTTTATAATAATAATTGTAATTAGGTATTGTAAATAATTATTTAGGTTATTCTTAATAGAGAGATTTAAGGTTACTAATAAACTGGCTTAACTTTGATTTTGAAACAACCTATATATAGTTTCGTCAACGACGTAACACAAATACACAATATATACGACATTACAAACGACATTCTACCATTAAAATTATGAATTATGTAATGATAATAATAATATAAAAAACTAATAGTAAATAATTATATTAAGAGAAAAAAAAAAAGAATTTTATATCTATCTTTTTATATCTTTATAAACATTTATCTAATAAAGGTAGGGTAGGAAAATTTAATATAGTGAAATCTTCATTATTTACGAAAAAACCTATATTACCATCAAGAGAAGATTCAAAATGTATCGGATGAGTATTACTTTCACAACTACTACCAATTGTAAAAGAATTTTCAAGAGTTCCAACTAATTCAAAACCAACTGTTTCTTTAAAAATTCGACCTTTAAGTACACTTATACCAAAAGCTAGTTGTGGTTTTAATGAAGCAGAAATACTAGCAGAAGCTTCGATACCAGCATTTGGAGTATGTGCATTAACTATAGGGGTAAATCCGGATTGCGTAAACTTTGGTTCGCCTTCAAATGATGCTTGAACATTAAAATTTGGTAAACTAAAATCACCACCAAATTCAAGAGTTTCACTTGTTCCCGTATTAACATCGGCAGCAGCAACAAGATCAATTGAAGGACCGACATTTAATATATCTGGTATGTTAAAAGGACCTAAACCAATACTTAAAATAGTAATATCTTTAGCTGAAGAAATTTTACGATTATTAATACTTGCCTCCTGTGAAGATTCAAGGGCAAAATCAAGGTTCATGAGAAAATTTCCATTAAGAGTAATTGAAGCTTCTTTTACTTTAGGAGGAAAAATTTTACCCCTAATTCTCAATGCAAGAGTAGCATCACCTTTCGTAAAACAATTAGTGCAAAGCAATCTCATATCATTATTACTTATAATTTTTAAATCTGGACTTGAAGATTTACCAGATTTTGAGTCAAATAAGATATTTAAACCTATATTATTACTTATATCAATTGAAACACCGCCGAATCCTTCTTCTAGATTACGATGATAAGTGTTATTATTTGTTTGATTTCCATGGACCCAATTAACATTTAGATCGTAATCTTCTGAATTGTGTGGAAAATCGCTTTCCTCAATAGCAAATGTTACAACTAATTTAGATTCATTTATAACTCTATCAGTAGCCGTAAAAAATTGGGTAGACCTTTTACCAAAACATGTCCATTTATGTGAAATTAATAACATAATTTCTTCAGGCCATTTATTAATATCATCAACCGCTTTTTTGTCCTTTAAGCTGAAAGTAATTTTTCTTTTACCATTTGCTCCCGTTTTACAAATAACACTTTCTACACCACTTTGATCAGGATTGAATGATGGTAAGTTGGTATTTAGATTAAATTCTGCCTTATGATAACCTTCTGAAGGATGACTAACATGTTGACTATAGACAGCACTGAGTGATTTTGTTATTTTAAAGTCTTTGTTACCCATAACAACATCAAAATCTTTTGATGCGGTAACAATTCCAGAAAAGAAAAGGAGTAAAAGCGAATTTAAAATGAACCTGATCATTTTTTTAAGTAATATAATTCGAATATAATAATATTGGGAAATATTTAGACGCGTTTTTGTTGAAAAAAGGAATTATTTGAGTAATGTTTTTTTTTGTCGGATGAAGAATATTTTTTTTTCGATAACGACAGCATTTATATAAAAAATTTCATAGGTTACATAGGTCACATGAAACCAGGATATAATATAATTTTACATACATTATTAATTAACGTGACAACCATTCCTTTCGAGTTCTAAGTTTCCAATTACATTGTAAAATTTAAATGTACTTTTTTTCTTAAATTCAAAAACAATAGAAAATCATTCCAATAAATTTTATGAAACATATATTTAGAATGATTTCTGGATATGTACCGCGTGGTTACTATAGAGTGATTTCTGGATATGTACCGCGTGATTACTATAAATTCCTTACTTTTTTTCATTAAATCAAACGGAAATGAATCAAAAGAATTTGTACGAACGAAGAACGAGATTTCTTTGCATTTTCTAATTTCCGAGTGAATGAACTTTTAATTTGTTCAGATCTTCTATTATTTATTTACAAGTTGAAATTCAATTTCTATTTTTGATTTTTTTTCATTATTACGAAACTTAACAAAGTGCATTATTGGAAATTAAACCTATTGGTCATGTAAATGCATCGAAGTAACGGCTCATATATCGGATGACCTTCGTGTAAGGTCAGGACAATTTACATAATTAATTGGATATTAATATTAGGGAAATTGGAGTTTCGGAAAATGATTTAGAAAAATGATATTCGGTAAAATGACAAAAAAATTCTTTTTCTTTTTATTTATAAAGTTATAAAAGTTAAAAATTAGATAATTTTTAGGATTTTTTAAAAAGAATTATATTTAGAAAAGCTTTTGAAGATCAATTAAAGTTGATCATCCATTCCCTGATAAACATAACAATATAACCGACAATCATTTTACCGACAATTATTTATGCTTATCCATAAACAAATGAGTATATGTCAAAAAAAGTAATGATAAACAAATTACTTCCTCTAGAAAAAAAAAATATCACACTAATTAAAGAAAAATTAATTATAACGATTTATTGTTACAAAAAATAAATAAAGAATCGGGAAAAAAGGAAAAAAGGCAATTGCCGTGGCGGTGCAATATTGATCTGATCACTGATCCAAACATAAAAGGTGAAAGAATGTATTCGGAAAGGTTGAAAGAGAAAAAGCCGAACCGAAAAATGAAAAGGGAAAAAAAATTTCGGACGGGAAAAAAAGTCAACCGAAAAAAAACAAAAAAAAATTCGAAAAAATAAAAACGAAAAGAAAAAATTTGAAAAGAATGAAAAAAAAAGAGGAAAAAAAACGAAAAATTTTTAAAAAAAAGAAAAGAAAAGGAAAAAAAGGTGGTTCGAAAAGAAAAGAGGAAATTTGAAAAAAAAAGAAAGAACCATTTGTAAAAGATTGGTTAAAGAAAAAAAAATGAAAAGGTAAACGAAATAAATTTACAATTCCCATTTACAAATAAATAAATAAATATATAATTTATTTACAAATTGAAATTCAATTTCTATTTTTGATTTTTTTTCATTATTACGAAACTTAACAAAGTACATTATTGGAAATTAAACCTATTCGTCATGTAAATGCATGTTATTTTAAATTAACAGTACAAGACAAATCGTTAAACTTACAATCGAAGTAACAGCTCATATATCGGATATATCGGATGACCTTCGTGTAAGGTCAAGCCAAGATGGAATGGGACAATATACATCATTTATTAATTCGTTAAAATGTTCATTCTGGATATTAATATTAGCGAAATCGGAGTTTCTGAAAATGAATTTAGGAAAATGATATTCGGTAAAATGATAAAAAATTCTTTTTTTTTTTCTTTTTATTTATAAAGTTTATAAAAGTTAAAAAGTAGATAATTTTATAATTAATATGAACGAATAGGATTTTTTTTATTTTTTTAAAAAGAATTATATTTAGAAAAGCTTTTCCGAATTTAATTGAATGAACTTTATAGTTTATATTATATAATAAAAAAGATCGATATACGTAAAAAAAATAGTCATTTATTGCTGTTTTACACAAAGTTTAAAAAGTTACTTATAAGTAAACTTATTTAAAAATTGAAAATTTTTTCTTATAATTATAATTTTTAGCTTATAATCATACCTCCTTTATTTGAAAATGCAATAAAATTTTTATTTTCACATGTTTTCTCAAAAAATTTTTTTTTTATTAAATAATGCTAGATCACAGTAATTAGAAAATAGCAATAAATTATTTTATTACCGAAAATCTAATTTTTTTTATTAAAAAATTTTGAAAGTTTTAAGCAAGCTTCAACTAATTATTTTTTTCCTGTTGATCATGGTTACAGTACGATTTCCTGAATGCCTTTTTCCTGAATATATCTTTTCCCGAAGTTATTTGCCTGAATGCTAATTTTTCAAACTGAACATTTTCCTGAAATATACAATTTCCCAAATCCTTATTTCCCGAATCCCATTTCCTGAAGTCTAATTTCCCCCAATATCCTGAATCCCAATATCCCGAATTCAAATATACTTAATTCTAATATTCCGAATTCTAATATTCTGAATGGACAATTTCTTGAATTATATAATAAATTGTATATTTTCTCATATGATTTATAAATAAACCATATAATAAATTTAAAAAATAAGAACTATTGATTACCATTTTATATAAAACAATTGAATATGAATTTTATTTGTCATAATTATGTAATTTGGGGAGTGGCTATTTCAAGCATCCCTTGCCTGTACAAGTATTACGATCAATTTAAGTAAATATGAAGTAAACATAAGGAAATATACAATCAATTAGGAAATATTGCATTTTTAGCTAATAAAATTTTTCTCTGACCCACTGAGTTTAAGTGCTTGATAATATTTTCCTAAACAACAAGTAAATATAATTAATTTGCATTTTAGGAGAAAAAGATTTGGTACAGGTACAAATTTCAAACAGATACTTCGACTGAATAATAAAATCTGCTCGCTTTTGCATTATTTATTTTAAGTATTTGCTTTAATACAAGTTAGTTTATTACATATTATATTTATATACATTATATATAATTTATACTAAATAAAATAAAGGTTGAGTTTATGAAATTAATAATTCTAATTTATGATGTAAAATTATAAAAAATAATATTAAATTCAGTAAAATATCAATTCAGAATATCAAGGTTCATGATATTGGAATTTGGGATAAAATAATTCGGGATAAAAGAATTCGGGAAATTGGATGTTTCATATAATTCCAGAAATTGAGATTCGGGAAATTGGCATTCGGTAAAATGGAGTTTCAGGAAATGATCAATTTCTGGAAATAGGCATTCAGAAAATTGGATTCGGGAAAAGGTATATTCAGGAAAATGGTATTCAGAAAATGGTCCGACAAGGGTTGATCATCCATTCCCTGATAAACAGGTTTTAACAATATAAAACCGACAATCATTTCACCGATAATTATTTGACCGACAATGACAATCATTTATGCTATCCATGGTATTTGTAAATTGTAATTATATGTTATATACTTATAAATATTTCTAATAAAGAAACGCGTATATGTATTAAAAAAAAAAGTAATAATAAACAAATGAGGTATCATCCGAACACGAAGAAAAGATATTAACCGCGTACGAAATTATACAATTTCACTGCTATGTACTAATACTAAGAACTACAAAACTACAAATGACGAGGTGACCTTGGCCAATCAATTTGTTAAATCAGATACTAATCGATCAACAAAATTATGGGATCGTCTAAGCGGAGTAGTTTTGACCGGCATCACGGCATTAAGAAGTTACGAATGCGAGACAATACGATCACATGATACCACTCCGCTTCAGTTATCATTAAAATTGTCAAAGTACTGTATAATGCAAATTTTGAAAATGATAATTATAAGGCCGGGCAAAAAAAAATTTTAGATTCTCGTGACCCGGCCGGGTCAGTTTTTCGAAAAATGGGAAATTTTTTTTTATAGTAAAAAATTTTATAACGTGATTATAAGTTATTGGCCAATGTGGCGTAAAAAAATTTTACATATAAAAAAATTTTACAAATATAAAAAAAAATGCCGGCCGGCCGGGTCATTTTTAAAATTTTATGTCCCGAGAATCTAAAAATTTTTTTTGCCCGGCCTAAGATAAGTAATAACCCTATGAAAAAAATCTGAAATATGCCAAGGTAATGTCTGAGAGTAAAGAAAATTCCTTAATTTATTGGCATTTTTCATAAACAATTGCTTTTTTCATATGAAATTAATGGTTTGTAATAAATTATATTTTGACGTGTATTCAGTTAGCAATATTTTTTTTACTTATTTTAAGGAAAATTATCCATTTATTTAATAAATTATATGATATGTTTATAGTTTTAATAGTGGTTATATTACAGTAAATTTTATTGTTTTAACAAATTTATTTGTAAAAAATATTTATTATACCAATTATTATTAATTTAGAAGAATCAAGAATTTCAAATGTATATGAACATTGATGAATTTATCATTCACTGGCAAAGTATGCACAATAATTTTTCAATAAAAGAAACTAGAATACTTTATTTATAATATAAATAATAAAATTAAAAATTACATAATACTTGTACATAGCTATAATCTTTAACTTATGCATCATGTCGGTGTACGATATTAACGTACGCACTGGCCGGAGTTAAGTTTAACGCTATCACGTGCAAGTGCATAACTCCTAAACTCTGGTAGGATGTACGTACGCACGGTGCGTACCTCATAATTAATCATGTAAACTATCATATTATAAGGCACTAGTACTAAAAGTACAGAACAAACTTTTTTAACTCTTTATAATTGTTATATAGAATGCTTAAATTAAAAGATAAATGTATAGATTACAGTTTTATTTCAAAATTTTTATTCAAATAGCTTAATTCATTTGTCTTCCAAAATAGTCATGTTCTTCTAGACTATATTTAGTTAATATAACTTTCTTCTTATAATATTCAAATGCTTTAACGTCATTTTTTTCAGTTCCTATTCCATTCTGATAACAATATCCAAGATTATGTATTGAATCAATCTGACCCTTTTCAGCTGCTTCTTTATATAATTCAAATGCTTTGATTTCATTTTTTTCAGTTCCTATTCCATTCTGATAACAATATCCAAGATTATGTATTGAATTAATCTGACCTTTTTCAGCTGCTTCTTTATATAATTCAAATGCTTTAATTTCATTTTTTTCAGTTCCTAGACCATTTTGATAACAATATCCAAGATTGTGTATTGAATCAATATGGCCTTTTTCAGCTGCTTCTTTATACAATTCAAATGCTTTGACTTCATTTTTATTTAATGATCTTGATTGAATGTTATCATTCATTTGTCTTTCTATTTCTTCTATTTTTTCTCTATTTGGTAATTTGAATGATGGCTGAAGGCGTTTAAAAAATTGAATAATAAGTGGATTATCAACAAAAGAAAAGGGAATTTTAGCTGAAGACAATGCTTCAGTTAGTAAGTTCTCAAGAGATTTTTGTTCCTCTTCTCTTGCACAGTCATTGAAGTTATCAGTTATTGATATAGTATTTTGTTGTGTAGATCGTAAATTTACATTAGGTGAATTCGGACATTTTTCATCAATATGAGTTTGCATTCGATGTGGAACAGCTCGTTTAAATTCTTTGAAGCAGTATTTGCATTGTACATGAGGATGTGGGTCTTCATATTTATCAATTAGATAAAAATGTTCCCAAATTGGTCCCCTTTTTCTTACCATTTTTCCATTTATATAGTCAATGGATTCAATTGTTGATGTAATATTCTGTTGTGTTGAGTGTGATTTTGCATTATTTGGTGCACTTGGACATTTATCATCTAGATGTGCTTGCATTCGTTCAGGAACACCTCGTTGAAAATATTTTAAACAATATTTACATTGTACAGGAGGATGTGAGTCAACATTTCTATCTCCACTATTAAAATGTTCCCAAACATGCCTCTTTTTTCTCTCTTTTCTTGTCATTTGGTATAGTAGTGTATATGAAATTTAAACCTGTTTCTAGCAAAAAATAAACAACAATGATAAGGTAATGGCGAAAATATCGACTTAAATGATTTGTGACTAAATGGCAAATTCATTGACAATAAGATTCTTTCACTTGTGTCCATTTTGGCTATTAATGAAAGGGTCATTTTTTTGTATAAGGTTTTACGACATTTTTTTTCTGCATAAAGCGTAAGGGGCTATACTAATTAGTTCCATGGTGATCAACATCTGGAATTTTTTGATTTTTAATCATTTGTAATTATCCGGACCCATGTCATTGCATGGACCCAATGGGAACCTGGGATGAAAATTAGTATAGTCAAGCGTAAGGTTCCACGATATTTTTTCTGCATGAAAAGTGTAAGTTTCACAACATGTTTTCTGTATAAACTATGAAACGTATAGTTTCACGGTTGATGATCTTTTATTATTTTGAATTAAAATTATTAGTTGTAATGTCATCACGATGGATTTATGAAATATTTCCGACAAACTCTTGTATATAACTAATTTTTCCACTATCTACTGTAACTAATCTTTTCAATATTAGGACGCGTCATTATTTTGACATATTTTTAGAAAATTTGCACATAATATATGAAACAAACATTCCGTGAGTGATTTCAGTGCAAATTTATGTATATCCGATTTTCATTCTTTAAATTCAACACTAACATATTTTAATGTTTTTAACAATGATTATTCACATAATTTTTTTACTTTTATTTGACCCCACGTCAGAATCGTCAGATTGCCATTTTCCGCAGATCCTTGGCGGATCACGAATTAATGAATTCCCGAAGGCGCAGCATAAATCTGCCGTAACGGTAACATAAATGATTTAAAATGTTGAGATTCAAATTTTCTAAAAGTTACTGATTTCAATTCTCTTAAGCTCATTATAGTATAATGATATGATCAAGTCAAATAAAGAATTGATTTTGTGTATAATTTCTTCGATTTAAATAAACTTAAAAAAGGATTCTGAAAAAAAAAAGTTGAAAAGTTTTAAAATCTTGTTGCGTTGTAGTGAAAAACCAATCAGTTAATTTAACACTTTCCGCTATAATTTTATGCAGCTTCTATAATCAGATCATTAATAACCGGACAATGTAGGCGATAATATCTAAAAATCAACTCTGTATTTTTAATCAATCGGCCCAACTTCCGTCCAATCTCTATTCTTGTTTACAATTCTACAAGTTATGCAATTATTTTGTATTTGGTGTATTATGATGGCTGATTTTCAAGTTTTTGAAAGTAAAAGTAGGTCAGGAGAAATTATTTCAACTTTTACGTTGTAGTTGTGATAGTTGCAATTTAGGTAATGTAGGACGACGCTTTCTATAAAATATTCCTAGATAATATCACTTGGAATTCGTTACTATTATCATTAATAATTACGGATAATGGTAAACAATTCAAAATAATTAAACCTCCATTATTGATGCATAATGTGATTATTAGATATATTATAAGTTACGAATTTTTTTTTTAATTTAATAAATCATTAATTGTATTAATTGTGCGGTGGAGTGATTGATTCATGAGAAAATTCAAATATTTTGATATTAAAAAAATTTTTTTTAATAAAATGACATTGTTCCCTTTTAACTAAAACATTTCCTAAAAGTGTGTATTTCTAACATTATTTATGTTTTTATTTCAATTTTTAAACGATTTCATGTTTTTGTCGTCAAAATACTTAAGAGTATGTACACAAAGTTGTAGGTGAAGTAAGATACTTAAGTCTTAAGATACTTAGTAATTCTACTAACCTAATATTACTCGACATTATTTTGTTATGCCAAAAAACGCCATGGTTATTATTTGATATGGTGACCATCCTTTATGAAAATATTTTTCAAATGTTTTTTATCAATATATTTTGTTCCATGACCTAGAATAGGTTTGCATGCGTGAAAATAACTAAAAGTTTAAAATAACTAAAGAAATCATTTCAAGTCAAGCACGGTATAATATGTGAGCTGCCATCTAGCAGAAGATACAGTATATTTATATGGTAAGTAAAATGGGTACGCAACCGTGGTATATATGAAGGGATAATGCGCACTATGAGGGTACAACCAGATTAGTATTCGCCCAATTACCACTTAATTAGTTATTTTTTATGAATGGACGGTAAATACCATAGTTGATTGCTTGTCCAACTTTCTGTCCATTCGGTCACTCATACCCCTAGGGCATTTTTATTTTTTTATTTTTTATTTTATCCTTTATTTCACTTCATTTATTCTTGTTATTCATTTAGCCCAGGCTCATCCTACCATCTGGTGGTATGCCTGTCAAAATCCTAAACCTTGTTCGCTTAGAGTATATTTGACGCGATAAGATAAAAAAATAATATTAGGTATTTAAATCACGCAAAATAAAAACTAATAATAAAATAAAATTTATTAATTATATATTATATCTCGTGCAATGAATAAAATTGTAACTTATTTCATTGAATAAACAAGATATCGATCACCAGTATAATAATCCTTCTTTGATCTTGTGATGACTTGAGCTTTTGTAAACACTTTTTGATCTGATTTATCACAACCTAATATACTGATGCAAGGAAATCCACAAACTTCCACCTCCAATCTTCTAATATCGAATTAATTCGTTTTAAACGAAAACGAAAGGTTAAGTTATTTGAATCGCTAGATAATTCATTATTAATTTTTTAATCTAAATTTACCTACAATTTATTTGTAATTTCTAAAGAACACGACTACTAAGCATATTGACTAATTTTAAATGATCACCTTTACGATTATCACTAAAAATTTTCGGTGGTATTTGTTGAATCAATTTCCCACAAGAACGAGCGTATTGTATACAGTCGCCACTGGCTATAACGAACCTGTTTGTACCGAAAACTTGTTGTACTGAACCAAGTTTCACAGAACCGAATTTTTTGCACTGGATATAACGAAATTACATAATAAATTACTATATACCGCATCAACTTATTTTAGCCAGAATGATTTTACCGGAAAAATTATTTCCGCTAGTATCAGATAAATTTTTCATTTGAATAGCTGGTAAATACTTAAAAAATTGAATGAACACATAAATTTTAAATAAAACATAGTATTATTTGTTAAAGTAAGTCATGTAATAATTCACCATATATCGAACCAAAACGCTTGGAACGGCAGGTTCGTTATATCCAGTGGCGACTGTATATTGTCGAAATTCTTTCATAATTGTTGTAATTGCGAAATTTTGAAGCACATATCCAAAAACAAGTTCTGCTCTTTTATTTGAGAAATCTACTTGACAGACTTGCTACAGTTTCGACATTAATCATATAATCACGTTCTTGAATCATTGCAAAATATGAAAGTATACTGAATATTTGTTTTTACTATATGTATTGTTGTAATTATGAATTTTTTTCGGTTAAAATACTACTAGGATCCCGGGCAATACTGAAATAGGTAACAAGAAATAAACGCGTAGAATAGGGCAAAAATAATCATGAAAATCTTTCCTTTTTAGATAATTTTCAATAATGTTGGTCAGAATTTTATTACTTATTTTAGTAGTTGACTGACATTATCATAATTTTGGCCCTGAAAAAATGCGTAGAGCTAATAGTAAATATTTTGCTAATATATTACTTATATTACTCGGGTCTTATACTACTTGATTTTTTTAAACTTTAAAGTTTAAAAGTGTTTCTATATTCTATTACTTGATTAACAATTTCGCCTTTTTATTGAAAATTCTATATTATTAATAACATCCAAAATTACAATAAACAAAGAAACATAATTTTCAGCATTTTTTAACGACATAATAAATAAATTCGTAGTACCAGTGCAAAAAAAAAAAATTTCTAACTATTATAGTAAATTTATTTCGTTTTAGTTAAATTAGTCAAACTAATCAAGAAATCTACATGCTTAAAAAAGGTATCGGATAAGATGATCCGGTAATTATCTCATAAACTATTACGTACGTGCATACGTGCAACCATGTGATATCCAAAATTAGACTTATATAAAGCCTTAATTCCGAGACTCCGTGAATTTTCTTTTCCTTCCTTAAAATTTTTTTTTTTTTAAAAAAGATGACGTTACCTTATTTAACTGATGATTGCATTTATTATATTTTACAACACCTTCAAAATGATCGGTCAACATTATTTAATTGTTTATTAGTTAATCGATTTTGGTGTAAATCAACGATTCCTTTACTTTATGCAAATCCTTTCGTAAATATAACTGAAAGAAATTATCCGATAATCTTGACCTTAATTTTTTGCTTTAATAAAGCGGAAATTTTACAATTAAAGAATCAACTAGGACCAAGTCAGATTAATAATATTAATTTTGATAAAGAATACAAACCATTATTTGAATATCCAAAATATCTAGAAAATTATAATCATTTTACAATAAATTCCGTTATTAACAGATGTTTTGTAGGATATTGTTCAGATTTATCAATTTCTCAAAACAAAATATATGATGATATTATTCCAATATTTCATAAATCAATTTTACGCCAAAGTAGAAACATTAAACAAATAGATATTTTATTATACTTATTTTATGAAGAAAGTTTTAAAAACTTTAATATTAAAAATTTCACTTCAAATTTAACAAAATTAAATTCATTATCATTAACTTTTCATTTAAATGGAACTTTTATTAATAATGAAATCGAGCAAGAATTTTTAAGCAATATAGCAAGAAATTTGAGAAAATTAATAATTAATCTTCCTCGAACCCAAAGATCATTACTTCAACAACATATTACTTTCGATAATTTACATTATAATATTACTTTGGAAAAACTCTGTACTATTATTCAAAAACAAAACAAACTTAAAATATTTAAGATAACGAATTGTCATTCATTATTAAAAAATATTCTTTTATCATTGGATTTTCAAAAGCATTCATTGGCTCATTCTGAATTTACAAAATGTGACTTTAATAATATTAATTTAAAAAGATTTAATAATTTATATAATTTAGAATATTTAACATTTAAGAATTGTAAAGGTACTATATTATTGGATCAACGTGAAGTTTTAAATTTTACTTCATTTAAGCTCAAGGAATTATCATTTATACGCAATAATTGGAGCGTTGACGTCACATCATTAATGATCAAATATTTAGGTGCATCATTACAAAGATTATTAATTGAAAATCCAACAATACCTATTATTGAAAATATTTTAACATATTGTTCAAAACTTAATTTTTTAAAAATAAGAATTGATACCCGTTTTAATTTATTAGTGTTACCTTATTTTAAAAATTTAAAGATAGGAATATTAAATATTAATATTTCTTATTATAATTATATTAATATTAATGAATTTTTTATAAATTTAGCAAATAATATACCAATTAATATTAGTAAAATTTCTATTTTTTGTCGTAAATCCAATAAATTTAAGGAATTTTTAGAAAATTGTCATGATAATTTTGAAATAATTAATTTATATCAAACCATTGAATTAGAATTTCTTAAAATTGTTTTAAATTATATTGAAAGGAATAACAATAGTTTAAAGGTTTTTGGTATGACGAGATTGGATAAAGAATTGAATGATGAGGAAATAAAATTATTTAATCAAATTAAAGCTAAAGGAGTTAAAATAGTGGATTTTTATAGCCTTTATAATTTTTATAGTTATGTATAATTAAGGTTTTTAGGATTCATTTGATTTATGTACTATTTTTTTTTACTTTACTCATTAAATAAAGCTATCATTTATTATTTATTACTTTTCTTAGGCACATAAAATTGATATCTTATATTTCTTATGAAATATTAAAACAGACATCCGTCATCTCCGATCTATGATTTCGATAAAATTAGGTCATATGACTCGTAATATTGACGATGTAAAAAATATTTTTTTTTATACCCTAAACAAAAATATGATATTACTTCTTTTATCTCACTTTTTCAATACGTCTACTTACTGATAATACATTGTGCTGTACACATTCTTCACTCTTTCATACAACATCCATTATTTGCTGAGCTATATTGAGAGAAAAATTATCGATCATAGTAGCGTCTAGAAACAGGTGAGTTAAAAATAAGAAAAGCCTTCTTTTCTTTGTGGTACAACTTTGAATTTTTGATCTTTTTAATTAACACTGATTTTGTGGTGTATTTCATTTGAAGAATGTTGACATGACAATTTAGAAAAATTCAACTGCGACTAACCGCATATTAAAAATCTCTGATTTGAAATGCAGAATTATTGTACTCAACCATAATACAAAGATTTGTGGCAAGTATTTCCGTTGTATGGTTTCTATTGGGTGTTAGGATCGTAGTACGTACCATATGCTACCAGCTAGTGCATATATATATATCACAAGCAATGGCTCCATATAGGTGGTCCCACAAAGTGGACTCATTGGGGGCAGGGCAGGGCGGGCCTGGAAGTGTCGCATATTTCTATGTCATACTCGATTATGATATATGGTAACATCATATTTAAAATCCGCTTCTATTTATAAATATTTACTCTCTCCATATCTGGAAGCAACTCTGATCTTGAAGTTTCTTAATCTAGTAAATAGCTGAATAGCTTTATGATATATATTCCATTTAAAAAATACATGATAATTTTATAATATACACGAAGAATCCAGCCAATTGTGTATTAAGGAGAGAATTAAGAACCATTATTTAAAATTTATTTACAAATTTGAAAACAATAAATTAATAAATTACCAACTCTATCTGATTTATTAAAAAAAAAATTATTAAAATGACACTTTTTCCCAAAAATACATAAAAGACATTAGGTATTTGTATCAGATATTTAATGTTATTTTTTTTTATTAATTATAAGAGTTAATTGATTTTACAAATCTTTAGCGTATATATACTCAAATTTTATAGGTTAATAAATACTTTAAATTAAAGCGTTAAAAAATATCTAGATTTTTAAGAATTTCTTGGTTTAACCTTAATGATTAATTCTTTACTAATCGTTATAACATCAGATCTATATTTAAGAGGTGCGTTCATATCCGCCATTTCAATATTATACTTTCTATAAATTAAGGTCAATAAGCACTTTAATTCTATCATTGCCAATTTTCTTCCCGGACAGATCCTAATTCCACCTCCCCACATAAAGAAAGAATTCTTAACGTGTTGTTTTTCAAGTAAATATTTATCACTTTCTTCAATATTATAAAATCTATCAGGGTCAAATTTTTCAGGATCAGTCCAATAATTCTTACTCATCATCATTGCGGAAAGAAACATTTGAAATGTAGTTCCTTTCGGCCAATTGTATCCTCCAAAATTATCATTTTCAACATTTACACGGCCTACTGTAAAAAACACAGGAATATGACGATATACTTCTTTTATAACTGAATCACAATATCGTAATTCATCAAGACCTTTAGATGTTACAGGATTTGTTAAATTTTTACCAAAAACTGTTTCCAATTCTTGTTGCAATTTTTGCTTCACTTCGGGATAATGTCCAAGATAATATACGATAAAGCAAAACAAATTCGCTGTCTAAAAAAAAAAAAAAAAAAAATTATTAATTTTTGAAAATATATTTAAATATATTGCAAAAATAAAAATAATTTTATACTTACAGTATCAGTTCCTCCAAGCATGGTATCGAATATATTAGCAAAAATTTCTCTGTCTTCCATTGGTCTTAAAACATCATCTTCGTGCCTTATGACATTAAGATGACGTGAAGTATTTATAATCATATGGGACGTCAACATATCATGACGAAGTGGTTGATCTAATGGTGTATTATCAATTTCAATTCTTCTTTTTTTAATAATATTAAATATTTTGTCATATAAATAATCTCTATTCTTTAATAACCTTTTCACATTTCCACTAATAAATGGAACATAACGACGAATAAATTTATTAAAAACAAAAAAAACCACCATTCCTTCTACAAAAATTTCTATTGATCGAATAAAACTTTCAGATTCTTCAATTTTCTTTTTTTCTTTTTCATTTATATTACGATTATCATTTTTAATAAGAGTATTATAATAAGAAAGAACGGAATCATTTTTTATTCCAGTCGCAATTCTAAGAATAATATCATTAGTAAATCTTCGCATCCATTTTGTAAGATTTAGTTCATAATCTTCTCCAAGATTATTCCAATAAGATTCCATTTGTTCCCATAATTCAATCGTCCATTCAATAGCTTGATTATTAAAATTTGAAGTCGACATAGATTGAGTAAAAAGTTGTCGATTATATTTCCATGATTCATATACTTCATTACTAATTATTCCTAAACCACTTGTCCTAAAATATTCTTTTAAATCTTCTGTAACAATAATTCTTAAAGGATATTTAGTTTTCTTTGAAGGTACAATCATATTTTCAATTAAATCCGGCCTACATAATACGATAAAACGTTGACTACCTAATGCTATTTCGAACATATCACCATATTTTTTATGTAATAACATAAACCAATCATTAAATTCATGTCTAAATTTTTGATGAATATTACCAAGTATCGGAATTGGAAATGGACCAGGTAAAGGATTTGGACGAGTGAAATATTTATAATAGAATTGAGTTACATATAAGATTATAAAAATTATCAAAAGAGACAATATATCTGAAGTTTTAAACGAAGAGAAAATTTCGGTTATCATTTTTATCATTTTTTTTTTTTTAAAAGTTATTAGGCACGGAGCATTCGGCGGTATGGAGGTGGGTGTTGAATGATTGGCTGCCATTGTGCTACGCATTGGCGCAAAAATTACGTTCTATTTTTCTTATTTCCATATTTTTTCAAGAGTTATAGACACAAAGAGATTGATTAATCGAAAAAAATAATATAGTACTTATAATTTATTATTATTTTTTTTATTTTAATATTTAGTTTTATGCGGTTGTAGTTTAGTATTTATTGCCTGATTAATGTACTTCTCTTAAATGTAATCTACTGTATTTATTGGCTATCTTTTGTAAATAAAATAAAGTCATTTAAATTTTATAAATAAAATAGTACTAATGCTATTTTTGTTAAATAAAAATATGATAAAAAAACCGCGTTATATATAATGAGTGAAGTCAAAATCTTATTGGTTGATCACACGGCCATGTGCACGAATTCACAAATTCTAAAGCGTACTTAGCTAATTTTATAAGAAAGGTTTCTAATTTGCTCAAAATTTAGTTTTTTCAGGATTATCAATAATGTGTTTTTGCACATTGATTCTCCGTTTCTTTAAATACTTCATTTAGTTTTCATTCAGCTTTATTTCCTTGAGAACTATAGCAAGATGGTATTTTCATCATTACAATTACTATTATTTTTAATCCAACACTTGAATAATGAATCAATTATGTAGTTGCTACTAAATCTCAATCATTTTGTTCAGGAACATGCCATTTTGCATCATGAGAACCAATAAATGCAGGATATCCTACATTAGAAAATCAGGATCATCTATATCAACCTAATTTTATAACAATTGGATGTCCTTGTGGTCTTTTTTGAAGTGAATCCGTTTTGACAAAACGAAATATAACATATCTAAATTTATTTTCGCTTTTTTATTGATCGATCTAACAAAATATGAGTAAATTATAGTCAAATTAGAGATAATAAAGGGGTACGCCAAAATGGTGGGTCAGTGCTAATACTTTATCATTTCGTTTAATACGTATTTTAATTTAATTGTTAATGCAATATTAGCATAGTGCAGATAATAAAATGATTGATTTAAAAGTTCATAGTTTTTTATTTGTGTAATTAGCGTGATATATTTTTTATGAGTTAAAAACATTAAATTATCGGGATGAAATTACGTTTACAGCTGATTTCATAATGTACGGGACACTTAGCAAATTTTAAAGAACTCGGAAATATTCGGTAAAGCTCAAAATAAGATAAAATTACTCCAAAATTAGCGTATAATTTTATTTTATATCAAGCTTTACCGAATATTTCCGAGTTCTTTAAAATTTATCATAATATATATAGTATGTGTGTAATTCCAGAATTCGTGAATTATACATTTTTCTTTTTATCTTAAAGAAGATATTAATATCTGTACGTTAATCTTCCACTTTATGTTTCGGAAAATATATATGATTTAGAAATTCCATCAGTAAAACCTGCAATGCTGAATTTAATTAATGACAGAATAATAATAATAAAAAAAAAAATTTCTCGAAAAATAGTGAACAACGGTAACAGCTAAAGATTTTATTTTTTAAAAGAAAAAATTTTACAATCTATTGATTTATTATTAATGAAAAATTGAATCCGAGTTTTTGTTGTACAAATCGTGTTTTTTTACAACACAAAACACTATTAATTATTATTTTATTATTGTTGTCATTATTATTATTAAATTAATTAATAAATTGAAATAATTTTCCTTCCCTAATTCTGTTGTTTAATGCTAAAACTACCATTACAGTACTTTTTATTTCTAACTAAAATTTATCTAGGAATTGTATGAATTTTATGTAGTGATAATGTATTAATATACAAAAAAAAAATATAAATATAAATAAACAAATAATTTACTAAATTACAAATAAAGGTTATTTTCAAAATTGCAACTGTTCAACAAATTTGCTTTGACCAGTAAAATTGGCAGAATCATGTGGTATCGGAAGTATATTAGAAACAGAATTTTTGATGCTAGAAATAAATCTCATTGATGATGATGATAAGGATGATGCAACAGATGAACCTCTACTTGTTCGTTGTCGTATATAAGCTCCTGGAGGTGTTACAGGGTAACTATCGTATGCATGACCATATTCCATTGAATCACTATCTGACAATGGAATACCTTTAGTCGCACATACCCTAGTTTTCTTTCTCACAATTATTAATGCTATCATTCCAATTGCTGCCACACCTACTACAGCACCTCCAATTGCTGGTCCTAATACATCACTATTTGCCGTATATGTATTTTCAGCATATTTGCCCGAATCTTTTGAGCCATTCTTATCTGAGCTATCCGTTCCATCTGTTGGTCTTGGTTTGCCAGATTCTCCTGATTCTCCTGGACCTCCTGGGCCCCCTGGTATTCCTGGTGCAGGTGCACCACCCGGTCCTCCCGGTATTCCTGGTGCGGGTGGTCCCCCCGGTATTCCTGGTGCAGGTGGTCCCCCCGGTATTCCTGGTGCAGGTGGTCCCCCCGGTATTCCTGGTGCAGGTGGTCCTCCCGGTATTCCTGGTGCAGGTACTTCTCCTGGAGCGGGTGCTGGTCCTCCGGGTACACCACCAGCAGGTGGAATTTCAGGTGCTTTACCACCATCAGGTTCTTTACCTCCTTGTGCAGTGGGTCCTTTACCTTCTGGTGCAGCGGGTTCTTTTCCTCCTGCTGGTGCAGCTCCTGGCGCAACTGGTTCGTTTCCTCCTGCTGGTGCAGCTCCTGGCGCAGCTCCTGGCGCAACCGGTTCTTTTCCTCCTGCTGGTGCATCTGGTTCTTTAGCTCCTGGTGCAACTGGTTCTTTTCCTCCTGCTGGTGCATCTGGTTCTTTGGCTCCTGGTGCAGCAGGCTCTGGCGCAGCAGGCTCTTTGGCTCCTGGTACAACAGGTTCTGGTACATCGGGTGGTATAATTGGTACATCTGATGGTTGTGGAACTGCGGGTAGTTTTGGTGGAGGAACGACTACGCGTGTTGGTGTAGGAACAGATTTTATATTGGTTGGAACAGTTAATGTAGGTAATTGAGGTAATTTTGGCGTTACTGATGGTATACTAATTGTTGTAGTTGGTATAGTTATTATAGTTGGTTTTTCGACGAAAATTGTGACATTATCATTTGTAGCTGTTCCATCTGTTGGTACCCCTGGTACCCCTGGTATCCCTGGTATCCCAATTTCTATATCTGTTGGTAATGGCGTTTCTGTGGGTGTTGAATTTGTAGGTGTTGAATTTGTGGGTGTTGAATCTGTAGGTGTTGGATCTGTGGGTGTTGAATCTTTGGGTGTTGGATTTGTGGGTGTTGAATTTGTTGGTCCTGGTGTATCCGATGATTTTGATGTATCTGTAGGTGTTGAAGTATCTGCGGACTTTGAAGTATTCGATGTGTCTGCAGACGATGATTTATCTGTGGTGGCTTTTGACGTATCTGTGGACGTTGACTTATTTGTTGTGTCTGGCGTATCTGTAGCTTTCGAGCTCGAGCCAGTCGAACTTGTAGTTTTATCTGTTTCCGTTGATGTCGGAGTTGGTGATTCTTTTGAACTTGTAGTGTCGGAAACTTAATAATTTTTTTTAAAAAAAGTAATAATAATAATAATTTAATTATTATAATACTATAATATAATTAAGTATATAATGAATATGTATATATATATAATATATATTACCTTTTGAGTTGACATCAATTTTAGCTTGTTTATTAAATTAATCAATTTTTAATTAGAAACTTGTTTGTGAAAATGATTAATTTTATTATTACTATTATATTTACTTACCAGAAACATTAACATCTTGTCTGGACTGAAGTTTTATCACGTGAGATAAACTGTGAATTTTCTGTAAGCTCGTTCTTGCTCGAGAGCGTATTATTCTTTTATAAAAGAGTGCGTTCACAAAGTCTATAATAAAAAGGAGATAACAATTAATGAAAAACTTTTAATAATTACTTCAAATATTAAATCTAATTGATAAAAACACTAACCGTTATCGCCTACCAATAATGAAACTATTATTAAAATCATGAGACATAGAGATCTCAATCTCATACTTTGTTCTCATGTGAATATTTTTTTTATATTAATGAAAGTAAAGTAATGGAAATAGAAGAGGTAATGAAAAGCAGAAAAGTAATAAGGAAAGAATAGGGAAGGAAAGGCGGAGAGGGGATGGAGGAAGGGAGAGGGAGGGAAGGGAAGGAAGGAAGGAATGAGAAGGAATTAAAAGGTATGAAAGGAAAGAAAGAAAGGACTAACAATAATAACAACAAAGCGGGAACGAAAAAAAAGAAAGCATTTTTTGTGCATCTCCCTTTTTATTCATTTTATTTTACGATTTGTTTATTTTATTTTTTATGTACATGCAATTAATTAACGTAATATATTGTGTATCACTGTTGATCGTATCAATTTATAGATTTTTACTCATAATCGAAATTTTTTACCAAAATTAAAATTGTACATCATTTATGGGAACAAAACAATGAGCTTAAATAATGCTGCATCACGTGATGACGTTCAAGGGTTACGTAAAAGTACAATTAAAAATATACCATTTATATCTTCTTTTTAATAAATTTAATACTTCACCTAAATGTATTATAGAATTTTTTTTATTATTTTTTTTTATTAAAATAAATTGATAGAATGAAGAACGAAGACGGAATACAAATAAAATGGACGGTTTTCCTCATGTGTTAAAATATTAATTAAAAATGTTTTTTCACAAAATAATAACATCATGTAATCCCAACTTTTCACCATCTCGACTTTTCTCACTGCAAAAGGCAACACATAATTTAAATTCTTATAAATATTTATTAACTAGTAGCACCAATTATTTTTGACAAAGGCGTCACTTCCGAACATTCGCAACTTAGAAATATAATCAGTGTAAAAGTAAATTAAGTGTTACAATTTATCACCAAGTTGCTGCCCCAAAACATTCTAAAAAATTATTGAGAGATTCCTTTTTAGTATAAAATGGTAACCGTAT